TCCCAATGTTTGTTGCTTCAAAAGGAACTAGTGCTGGATAGAATCCCATGTGTGCTCAAAACTCCCAAATTTTGCGGTGATGCCGGATCCTGATTAGTGTAGGGGTTCCCCCCCCTCCCCCTTAAACATTTGAAGGTGCCCCTTTAGACTAGTAACTTTTGAGCGACCGGGGTCCGAACGATTTTGGATCATGATCTTAAGTATAGATTTCAATTGGTGTCAATTCATGTTCAATTGATTTCAATTGATTTCAACTTACTTTCAATTGACTTTAATTTATTTCTGTGAATCACCAAGTTCTGCCCACACACACCCCAAGCTGGATAGCTACCAAGAAAGCTACCAGGCATGGAGGCACGCACCGGGGCAACCGGCTCTTAAGGGCTTCAGCTACTCACACGCACTCCCCCCACTCTGCAGCTCAGGCATGCAGAGTGTAGTGTATGCAACCTGGCAGAGGCCGTTGGGCTTGAGCCACCGCACCAACTGTTAGGCGCCTCGCCAAACTTCAAAAGCCAAACTTCTCGCTGATGAACTGCATCGGCCCCCCGCTTTCTGAGACGCCTCGCGTCCCCCGCTTTTTGAGGCAAAGACTCGCCCTCCAACTTCTTTGTCGAACAGGCCCTGCACACCGCAGATCTCCCAGCTTCACCACACATGCAAGAAGCATTCCCAGCGGGCATCAAAGCCGCGCAATGGCCACATTTGGGCTCATAACCTGTGAATCACCAAGTTCTGCCCACACACACCCCAAGCTGGATAGCTACCAAGAAAGCTACCAGGCATGGAGGCACGCACCGGGGCAACCGGCTCTTAAGGGCTTCAGCTACTCACACGCAATTTCCAATTGGTTGAAATTTACTGTCAATTGATTTCAATTTAGTTTCAATTGATTTTCAATTGATTTCAACTTACTTTCAACTGACACCCCATAGTAATCCTATAGAAATATCATGGAAATCCCATAGAAAGATTATAGAAATAACATGGAAATAGCATAGGGACCACAAAGAAATCCGATAAGAATCCGATAGAATTCCTTCAGAAATCCCATAGAAATATCATAGGAATCCAATAATATCATGGAACCCCCAAAGAAATATCATAGAAATCCAAAAGAAATATGGAAATACCATAGAAATCCCATAGAAATCTCATAGAAATCCAATGGGAATGGCATAGGCATTCCTTTGAAATCCCAGAGAATTTCCAAAGAACCACCATGGAAATCCCATAGTAACGCCAAAGAAATATCATAGAAATATCATTGAAAGATCATAGAACTACTATTGAAATTCCATAGAAATCTGTTTTTTAAATCCCATAGTAATCTCATAGAAATATCACCATAGGAATCCAATAGAAATATCATGGAAATCCCATAGGAACCCCGAAGAAATCCCATAGAAACATCATAGGAATACCATAGAAATCACACAGGAATCCAATGGAAATCCCATAGACATCCCTTTGAAGTGCCTTAGAAATTCCAAAGAACCCGCATGGAAATCCCATAGACATCCCATAGAAACACCATAGAAACCCATAGAATTTCCATAGAAACTCTATAGAAATCTCATAGAAACACCATAGAAACCATGGAGTGGATGCCAGGATAGATTGCACTAATAGACAAAAACTATAGCAAAGGAAAGGAGAAAAGAATTTGGAACATGTTCGCTTCACAAAAAAAAACTGGACACAATAGAGGACCACAACAAACATACTATTGAAGATCAGGGTTGCTCATGGGCTACCCCCCGGAAAAATTGTTTGGGTGCTGTTTTTTTGGATTTTAATAAGGAACTTGCTATGCTGATTTTTGTTCAAACTAATTAATTAACTTGCTTTTGTTTGTTCAAAAACATGTTGCAACATATAATTAGTTGTTCATTGCTGTAAACAAAATCTCACAAAATGAAAAGCTGCAAACACATGAAAACATGCATCAGAAAAAAAACAACTTGAAACAATACCGACCCACCCCCACCAAGTCACAGGGTCAGAATTATTTTGTCAAATTTGTCAAAACTTGACACAATAGCGTCCCATTGCACTAATCAGGATACAACATTAAAATCCCAGTTGGCTTACTTTAATCCCATGGTTTTCCTTAAATCAACATTCTTGTTGGTTCAATCCCAAGTTTTGTTGGCTGAACTCCCGTTTTCCTTTGAACAAATCCCACAGCCAAATGCCCCAGGCATCAGCTACCGCGGTTCCAGTGACCCAAACGACCCAACCGGCGCCGAAAAAGCCGCCGCCGAAAAGCGCTACGAAGCTCCATCAACGACTGGTGGGGAAGCCATGGCGGTTCCACCGTGGAGTTCATGGCATTTTCCGTGGATTTGTTTAAGCACCAATCAGCCCTAGGGATATTGAATTTGGGGATTGAACTATCAGATCCTAACAGTTACCCTTAATGGACCTGAAACATGGGATGAATTATCTCTTGCATATATATATATATATACCGATCTATCCATCTATCTATCTAAATCCAACAACCTACCTATTTTAACCGACTCAAACCATTTGAATGCCATCTGATGTATTTATCTTCACGTGGCACCACCTTGTAACTGTATCTCTGCATTAGAGTAATAATGATTTAACGATTATATTAGCTGCTCTGAAGATCCATCCTCATCATACCGCAGTGCTTCTCACCAGAATTGGACGAACGGAAAATCAAATCAGAAAAATCAGTGTTTGGGCTAAAAGGCAAGGTTTCCTGCAGAGTTTCCCAGCAAGAGATAAGACAACCAATCCTCCCAATGCCGCCCAATGCGAGTATCTCATTGTATCATATCCTAAGTATATCCCAACCAAGTCCTAAGTCTATCCCATTTAAGTTTTATTAAATTCCACCTGCACCCCATATCAGAATTTCTATTCCAATGATGTTCCATATAATAATTATGGTCTTATATAGTACAGTATAGTTTGGATAATTGTGGTCTCCATATCAGAATTTTATTCCAATGATGTTCCATATAATAATAATAGTAATAATAACAATAATGGTCTCCATTTTAGGATCCCGAAAATGCCCACCGTTTAAACATATCGTTTATGTCAAAGGCCTTGTCCCGCTTGGAGACCTTCCTGAAGAATCGCCTCACAGCCTGGGCGTCGCAGCGGTGATGTCATGGGTTTACCGCAGCGGGTTCTGTGGCTTCTCCTTGGGACTTTAGGAAAATCCTCTGCAAATGATTTTTGAATGGGAAATTCATGGAGTGTGTTTCAGGAATTTGGTAAGTGCGGCGGTGAATGCAAAAATCATGTATACATAGCTGTTCAGTGGGAAAAACATTTGTAGATGATTGTTCAATGTGAAAATCATCGGACTACATGGTGGGTTTTACAGCGAACCATATTTGGTATTATTTGGTATCATTCGAAGAGGATTAGAACCATTGAGCAGCCAAGTTCTTGCAATGAGGAGCAACCATTGGCCAGCTCACGGCGTTGTGATTTTTGTTGCATATATTCAGAAACACATGGAGGAACTGCCTTCAGTGTGAACAGTTGGTTTTTTGTCACTTACTCGCAGTTTATTGCATGTAAGACATACAACTTAGGGATCTAATAGTATTTAAAACATGTTTAGTTTTAAAGACCTCGTTGCAGAGAGGACTCTCATGGCGAGGGAAAACCTCCAGAATCCGCATGCTCAGGCCGAAACACTACAAAAGGCGCTGTTTAGGCGGGGGTGATGTCACCAGTCATCCGGGAGCGATCAGAAATCTACTGATCCCTTGGATTCAACTTTTGTTAAATCATCATGCTAGCAGCTGCTAGCAATTGTTTCATGGGTTTTTGTTTATATGCAAAATAAACGGTTCTAAAAACATAAAAAAATGGTTGTCCATATTATTGGTTGGTTTTCAACGACCTGACAGCGAAATCACCGGAATAGTTTTGATCTAGGAAAATTTAGCGGAAAACGACCCCAAATCAGCAGTTTTCGGAACCTTCTGTCATTCTACTGACTGGTTGATATAGAGATTCCTAGTCAATGGATGATGACAATTCCTAATGATCTAATGTGTGTGTGTATAAAACATTGTAAAACACATTATTGGTAGTATCATCAGTATAATTCCCTTTAATAATCAACCAACGGGGGTTAGCAGCCACTGCTCAGCCATGGCTTTGTTTCTGGTCAGCCGACCCGGATAAGACGTTGATTGCCAGACAGCTATTACTTGGAGGTTTGTCCCATGAAGAAAGGAAGTGGTTGCTGGCCGTGACAAAGAAGTCACCAAACTGGGTTATCCCAGCAAACGCTGGTTGGTGGTTTCAAACATTTGGATTATTTTCCATAATATATGGGATATCATCCTTCCCATTTGATGAACTCATATTTTTCAAGATTGTTAAGTCACCACCAACCAGCAAAAGTATCTTGCAACTGGGTGAACTCAAACTCAGCAGTTTCGATTCGTGGGGGTGATCCTGCAAGCAGTGGATTGGGGGACTTGATCCGCCCTCTGGTAAGAAAACAGGCTCGACAGTAGAAGATCCATCCTGTACATATGCAGTCTTATGATGATTGCATTTATAAAGCGAATGGACAAGTGGGTTTGTCTGAGAATATGGTATCCCCAAACTGTTTCGCCTAAATTTCAGTGATTTCTTATGTTTGTCATTATTTGTCATTAATTTCCTTGTGTCTGGTTCGATGGTCATGTATCTTCCATATAATTACCCTCTGGTTATTTAACATAGCCATGGGAAATGGCCCATAGAAATAGATGGTTTACCTATGAAAAATGGGTGGATCTTTCCATGGCAAACTGTTAGTCATAACCAGATGCTACACCATGATATATCATTATATAGTCCAATAAATCACCATTAAACCACCATTAAATCACAATTAAATCACCATTAAATCCAGGTCATCCAGGTCATAAACCCAACGTTGTTGTGCCAGTTGCAAAGTAACTGGGGCAGCACGGCAGCACCTGCCTCCCCGCGCGGCAGAAAACGTCAGGTCGCTGAAGGTTGGGCGCTTTGACGCGATGAACGAGGCGGCTTTTTTTGACGTGATGACCACTGGAGGTTTACCTTGGATGACTGGATGGGTAGTTCAAATCCTTCAACAGTTGTTTTTTTTGCCATGAATATATGTATATATATATATTTATATTTATATAATCAGAGTATCTAAGGTTGGCCAAATCTTGAAGAAGCAGTGTTCGAAAACGGAAGTGTCGTCCCTTTTGATCCTGGTCGTTTAAGGACAAACTTCCCGTTGATGATGATAATCCCCAATACAGTGGTAGTATAACCCCCAAACTAAGTAATCATCTATCAACCATCAGTTATCAACAATCTTCATGTTTTGATGGTTCAAGATGCTTAAAGACCCCACAAATCCACATGGTTCCCATGGTTGATATCCCAGGTAACCAACCAGGAGGGCTTTTCAACAAACAAAATGAAATCACCCTCCAACTAACCATCAACCAACCATCATCAACCAACTCCCCGCGCCTAAGATCCATGATATCCATCCATGCAGGAGCTGGTCTCGGAGCTGAGTGGTTGGAGCGCCAATGAGGCCGCTTGGTGGTGATGTCCTTAGCTAATGATAGCTGTATTTACCAGCAGAAAAATGTGATGGAATAATGTTTCTACAAGGTGGTGCCCCATAGTTAGCTAAGTTGGTTTATAACTCCCATAACTATGGTTTATGGCAGATATAACTATAGTATTCATGGGGGTTATAAACCAACAAACATCACTGGGGGCACCATCCTTTCGGCTATTTTGTGTTCAGCCAATTGGGATCTGTGGTAGATATATCGAACCAGTTCGGAACGGGTCTATAAAGCAACATCAACCAACCAATAAAACTGGGGGCACCAAAACGTGTCAGCCAAAAACAAAGAATTTGAATTATATAGTGGTCATGAAAGTATAGTCAAGATTATAAAGGTGGACCCCTAGAAGGCAAACGTCAATCCACAAACTGTCTGGACTGTGTTGAAAAAAAGAAGTGTATCACTGGTTGATGGCTTTATGGTTCAACTGCCAACAATGATGAGGTCATGGTTCAAAATGAAGCTAGATCTATATACGGATCTGAGTATGGATCCAGATATGGATCTAGATATGTATCTATATTGGATGTAGATGTGGATCTATATCCATATATATAATATACATATAATATATGTATGTGTATATATATATATGGGATGGGTTTGTTGTGGGCGCGGGATTTTGAGGATTTGTGGGAAGTTCATGGCAGCAGATGTTCATTTTTTGTACCGTCATGCCCTCGTATGCTTGTTGCCAACGATATTGCTGCAAGATCTCATCTATATGATATATATATATATATATGCATACCTCAAAAATTTCATCCAGCTGGGTCACAAGAAACAAAACATATTGCACATGCACAGCGAGAAACTACATAACGCTATCAACGGTTCTATGTCATTTAGCCAGTGAATATCAGAGAGAAAAAATCAATTTTGCCCTGTTGCGCCATGCTCAAATGATAGGGTTTTGTTTGCTTCTAGGTTTTTATAGCAAGCATGAACAAGAGGAAACAGTACTTTTGATTGACAGAAGATTTCATTTTGTCCCCAAGCAGTACTGCATCTTCCAGAGCTCCCTACATAAAGAGATATGGTGTTTTGCCAGTCCTTTGAGAAAGTGTAAAGCAAGACCCTGAGATGTGCATAGCATTCCTTTAGAACAAGTGCGTTCTGTCTTCCATATATTTTAATGAACCTATGTAATTCCTTCCATAGAGGCCTTTCAAAAGTATGTAGCATCTCTTTGAGAAGTAGCCTTCAAGACACACAGCAGTCCTAGTGAAAGAATCTGGCTGAGTATGGTGTGATTTACAGTAAGTTGTTGTACAAAAGGGAACCCTTTCATATATACAACAATCCCTTTGAAAGAGGGTGATGTGTCTGTAATAAAGCGCAATGCATGGAATTGCCATTTGAAGAAGTATAGTGCTCCTTGCAGGAAATATAGCATTATTTTGAAAGGGTATTCTTCAATAAGCAATTGCTCTTTCAGAGACAACAGTGCAGCATGCCTTTATGCAAGTTTCCTTGAGAAGGATGCAATATATTATATTTGTTCATTCCTTTGAAAAGAGGATGGTATTCCTTGCTCAGAAGAAAACTACACAAACAGAGCCACCACCTCCAGAAAATCGGAAATTAGGCCTTGCTGTTCAGGAAATTAAAAAAATTGGTTTCCACCCCAGCCAACCCAAAAAAACGAAATAATTTTGATTTTTAGTTCAGAGAGGTTCCTCTTAAGCCGTGGATTAATCCAGATTAATCCAAGAACCAAAAAAAACTAAAAAAACAAAAAAAACAAAAAAAGCAAAAACAAAAACAATGTTTTGGGGACTACCTGGATATAGCCATGATCAGACTAGTCTGGAAAATATTGTTTTTTTTGTTTTTTGTTGTTTTTGTTTTTTTTTGTTTTTTTTTGTTTTTTTTGGTTCTTGGATTAATCTGGATTAATCCACGGCAAATTCAACATTTTATGAGGATATGTCTAACACTTTTTTTTCATATGAGAAGGCCTGCATGTGAGCTCTAAATCACGCATTTTTGCGCGCCCACAACAAGCCTATGTGATATATATATATATATATTTGAATCTAGATACTTTGAGAGGATGTCAACTGCCGAGCATAATCTTCGCAGGGGTTGATGCCACAAACACATGATCACGTCCGTCAGCAGTCATATGAGTATGATTCTTCTGAAGCTGTGTACTGCTTGGACAAAAAAGATGGGGTATGGCTCAGAAGTATTCACGTCCCTAAATTAGTTTCAGGATGATTGTGGCCGCACACTTTGATTTTTAGCCTTTCTGTGATTAGATTCTGATGAGATGGGTTTAGCCTTTGTCCCACTGAGAGTTAAATGTTTGGTGGTCTATTTGCACCGAATTCAGCGACTGTTCGATCCCTTAAACTGTGCTTGACATACACCGAATTCATCCAATGACACTGTTGAAATCCAACTTGGGGTAGTCAGACCATGGTTGGCTCAGCATTGATTTTCCTTGACGTCCGGCCAAGAAATATATGGGAAAATATATGGGAAAATGAAGGAAAATACCAGTGATTTTCCCAGATCTTTTTTGTCCCAGAAATGTTCCTTTTGGCGCCCATGATACCACAGAGCCCGTTACGGTTATAGAATGTTATAGATATGGGATGATTACTCTTGTAACTAGTTGGTCATATATATATATATATAATCCCATATAAGTTACTATTTATAACTGGTCATGTATAGTTAATCCCATATTATAATCCCATATATAGTTAACAACCTGAAATCATCCAATTATAACTGGTTATTTTATCGGGCGCAGTGATCCCCGACTTTCGGGCTGCTTTTCATGCCCATCCGCGAGCTCGAGGCAATTTTGTTGCAATTGCGAGATCCGGTGTCGCTTGGTGCACTGCTGATTCAGCCGGGTATACATTGGATGTTAATGAGCTGTTAATATCAGGCTAATCACCGGCTGAATGTTCATGATGTCATGTCAATGTTAATGATGTTAATGAATATTAATGATGTTAATGAATTTTAATGATGTTAATGAATGTTAATGGTTGGTGATGTTTTTGGATGTTTACCCTGATTCCCTTTAACGAGTCGCCGTTCTTTTAGACTTCACCGAGTGGTTGTTGTTTGAGGCTCCGAGCCGGCGCCCTTTGGTGCTGTTCATCTATGCAGAGCTACAGATCTCCCCATCCAGAGTTTGCGACTAAGTCATCATAAGAACTAAGTTAGACATATGATAATGGTCTCCCTGGCCCTATTATAATATATTATATATATAAGTTGTGTGGTCCCACTTTGAATATCATGAGCAACCTGGCAGTTCATGGTTGCCCACTATTGTGGATTTAGAGTTGTGTATTCGTGAAACCTTTCTGTTTGGGATCCAAAGAACCAGCCCAACCAGTTTTCTAGCAATTTCTTGCCCATATTCCAGGGCCGAACATATTCCATGCCAAAATAGCTGGGAAATTTCAGGGAATTGCGAAGACCCCTTTCAGGTGAAATTTGTATTTCATACAGTTTGCCAAGTACTCCTTTTCTTCTGGCACGTACGTTGTCGACTGCACATGTTCTTCCGCAAAGAAGATCCTTACTTTCAACAATTTCTGGAAATGTCATAATTAGTAATGTTGAGCTTTCCAAAAATGGATTAATAATGTTCTTATGGGAATTTGTCATCTACACTTTTCAGGATCTCAAAACCCAATTCATAAGCTTTAAGCTTATGTTCTGGCACGCTTGGCTGGCCTTTCACCAGCAGCGCCATCCCCATCTTTCTTGACATCTTTGTGGCCCCGCAAAGAGCCCTGCACAACAGGATCTCGGAACACAAATCATCGACGATCCTGTTTTCTTCCGTGCAAACTAATTCCACCGATAGAGTACGATGCCACCCCTGGAGTGCGCTAATTTTCTGGAATGCGAAAATAAAACAGTATGCGTGGCCCCCTTCGACCTTCCCCATGGATCCAACACCAGTTTTTTCCATCATATACCAGAAAATTATCACATTTCACCCTGCTGAGCTTTTTTTTTCTTTTTTTTTGGTCATTTTTGGCCAAAATGGCCTGGAATGCGATAGTATGTGAAACTACAGACGTCTCACGCGAAACCGCTACCTTGCCCATATTCCAGAAAACGTGATTCCAGGCGATTTTAGCCAAAAAAAAACGAAAAAAAAAAAAAAAAAAAAAACGCAAAAAACGAAAAATCACCGAGTACGAAGATTTTATGGAGTGCGAAGATCTTGCAGAGTGCGTGGATTTTATAGTATGTGCACGTCCCTAGCTGTGGAGTGCGATGCCCTCGCTGGAGTGCGAAGAATTTGTGGAATGCGAAGAATTCCGAGTATGCGTGGCTGGTATAGAGACCACATAGGGAAATTTCGGGGCCAGAACCAAAATTCCAATCCCAAAGCCAGCCCAAACTTCCAGGGGCACACCAGTGGGTTCTATTTTTCCGAGTTCACCTTGGGTGAGGCCCCGGGGAAGAAACTTTCTAATTTCTACTCAGCCAACCTTTAAAAACGTTACCCTTGACAACCCTGTCCTTCTTCGGTAGACAAATGAAGAAACTTCCTTATCAAAGCAGCCTTCAATTCATTCAACGTCCACAGCTGCTTCGGAACGACATAGGGGATAGAAAGCTGTGGAGGGGCATTCAGTGGATTCGCCGTGGCCCAACTGTTCCCTCCAGATTGAGCTGAAATGCCTATCAAAGTAACATACCAAAACCCAGGTCTGGAGTACGATGAAAACATGGTATGCGAAGATTTTCTGAATATGGGAATGTTGCCTCTAGAAGTTTAATCCTAATGTTGGCTGGTGATACCCTTTATATCTTTATAACCCAATGTGATTGCTCCAACACCTAGTCTGATCTCGCAAAGTCCGTTGATCATATTTTTCTTCATGATTTCAACTAATCTCATCCACCCTAGTATTCAACACCCACCAGACACCATAGTTGTTTTTTTACAGTTATGGCCCTTAACAGCACAGTTTTAAATTGGATTATAACTCCATTAGTTTGTCAAACATATCATTCAATGGATTGGTTTAAGGGAAAATCTACAGGAAACCATCGATTTTCCCATTAAATATGCGGTTTTCCTGTAAATTTTCCCTTAAACCAATCCATTGAATCATGAAATAAACCAGGAACATCCGTCATAATCCCAGGTCCAACCTCAGCACTCGACCTATGTTGGCCGCCCTTCCTGAGGCAACGGTTTCAGGGGATGGGAGATCATGCTGATTTCAACACTAAACACTTGATAAACATGGGACATTCATGCAATGTGAGGCCCCCCAGTTATAAGTTGGTTTAGATTCGCCCCAGTAACTATAGTTATAAGTACCTTAAACCATAGTTATTGGAGTCATAAACCAACTTGGCTATCTTGGGGGCCTCACATTGTGGGATATCATGAGATATACAAGCGTTTCTCAGGTCTAAGGCCCCTTTAACATGGAGCTTCTAAGGGAACCTGCATATTGGCAGTATCCTCCTCCAAATATCCCAAATATCCTCAAATGGCCAATTCTAACGAGGAAAATGATGAGTCGCATCAAATTTGGGAGACCCACGACTCGGAGGGAATTCCCCTTTTTTTGGGAGATACCAACAACGAAACTACCGTGTCACGGGAGGAACATGATAGCATTCTTCAGAGCAGGTGCGGGTCATTTTATGGAATGGATTCCATGCAGGTGCCGGGTGTCCCAACCAACTCACAGGTGCGTCGTGACGGGCGAAAATCTGGGTGGTTTTGAGGGAGAAGTGGCGGAAGTGGTGTGTTTTTGAACATGCTGATTCTTCATGGATTTTCCATGGTCAAGAGGACACAGTTCTTGAGACTTCATTTGTTGTTTGGTTGTTTTGTTTCAATGTTTGGACCTGAATCGCAGACCTCTTTCCGAAAGGACTCGAGCCATCAAAAACTGACTGGATCTCGAAAGCGCTTCAAAGGAATTGTCTAAAAATTGCGAAGGCATTTTTGAGCTCCCAATTTTTCGAAGATGACCATCTCCAAAAAAGATGCCAAGACCTGGGGTTCTGAGGCGTCTACCACCTGCGTGTGTGGTGCCCAAGCTTGGCCAAAGAAAGCCTGAAAATCGAGGAGCCATTGCAGAATTTCCACTGAACTTGGTTTCCCTATGTTCCTTTTTGTTGATTCAAGGGAAGATATTGAAGTTGGCTGCGTGACTGTGAAGTTTCCTTCCCAGGTGGCAGAAAACAAGTGAACGGTGTGGAGTTTGAAGCGTGTCCGTCTCACAAAGAGCTGGGGATGTAACGTACTGTAATGACCCTATATACTGTATCTTTTTTGGGATAAGAGCGCTTTTTTGGTTGATGCTTTCACCGATTGAAGGCAGAGATTTGTTCTGATTGCCTCAGAATAAGGGCATTTCACCCACAAATTGATGCTATACAGGTTGACAATGTTGCTGGTCTCCTGGTTGATGGGTGCAGAACATGTGGAGTTGGTCCAAAACCAATTTCACTTGGCTGATCATCGCCACGGTATACCGTAAATGAAACTACCTCCGTCTCCATCGCTTGGTCTGTTTCTTTGTTTCTTATGTTCAACCCTACCGTCCGCCAATCACACATGGCTGGGAAATTAGCGGCTCAATGGTTTAATTTACCCTCTGGTAATTTAACATAGCCATGGGAAATGGCCCATTTATAGATGGTTTACCTATTAAAAATGGTGATTTTCCATGGCTATGTTAAATAACCAGATGGTACTAACAGCAACATCACCGAACTACATGGGTGTTTCTCCCAGGCATTGTCGCTTGCCACTGAAGTTTCAGGCGCATATGAAATCGTGGGGGATCGGTTGGTACAGTGAATGGGGTCGTTCGTGTTAAGGGGTACGTTCGCCTAAGGAAACAACAAAGGAGCTGTGCCGTACTAGGCACGAAGTGGCAAATGAACCCAACTTCGTGGACCTTTGCGAGGGGACAGTTCCGGAGTCCGAAGTTTGCCGTTTTGACGATGCTATGTGAACCTACCCAACACTAGTATCCAATACGAGCGTTGGGAAGATGCTTTTTGTCATGATTATTTCCATTATTTTCACTTCGATCGTTTCAGGAACTGTTCAATTCCACAGACAGATGCCATGGATGCTACTGTGAAGCAGATGCCGTGTTATGATGTCCCGTTTGTTTAGATGTTTCTTTGTTTTCTCTTCACTTAAACTGATGTTTCAGTTAATATCGACTACACAGTGTGCCTCCCTAGTTATGTTTGTTGGTTTGTGAACCCATCTCACTACAGAATGACCATAGATATATCAACCATAGACCCAGCAGTTCACAACTGAACTAAGGACCTACGGATTCCATAACCCTCTCATCCCGACTGGTTCGATGTATCCAGCATAAAACTAGCACTAGCACTTCTCCATGCTCTTTTTTGCCACACTTTTTAGTGGTTAAGTCCCATTTATTTGGGTGCTGAAGTCCCCGTATGTATCTTAAATGTGGCGCCCTTTCTTGCGGAACCTTTGCCATGTCCCACAAGATCTGCCAGCGATCGGACAGGTCTCGGCTGAGATGGCGGGGAAAGCTGCGCAGGTGGCTGACCAGTGAAGGAACGCATGTTTTGAACGTGGAATTGGAATTCGCCGTGGATGTAGTATGGAACTTGAATGGGAAAATCTTTGCGAACACATGGGGATATTACTGTATACGATATGGTATGTAAAATCGGAAAACAACGCAAGCAACAACATGATATGAGTTTGCCCAAACATGAAGATTAAAAAATAGCTGATATGTGTAAAGGTTGCACTTTTTGACAGTATTAGTCAGGAGATTACGATAAATCGTTGGATTTGGGGTGCCCTAGGGGCCCAACTTTGATGCATCGAGACGCATCGAGATTGGTGTGTTTGGTGGTGCCGTTCCGGTTTTTTTTTGTGGTTTGCAAAGCCCACATCAGCCCAGTAAGTATTGCTACAAACGCCCATTAATCCTAGTTACTGTATATGAGTTGTAAGCTAGCTTGGCTAACTGGGGGCACCAAATTGTCTCTGTTTGATGACAAGGACCAGGAAAAGCATGATAAGCATGACGGTACTCGCACATTGCTTGAGACGGTTTCATAAGAGAGTGGACACTTCACTGGAAGCCTTCAAAAGGAGGAGATGTTGCTGACAGACCTGCTTTCTAGCCACTTACCATGGAAGCTCAAGTATCTGAAATGCTGAACAATCCTTTCATCAAGACTGAACTACTTTGTTGAAGGTGCGAGGGAATTCCTGTAGCTCTGATGGAAACTAGCAATACACACCAAATACATCCAAATACTATATATTATATATAAATATATATTATATTATACATATATGTATCTAGTCGGTGGCTTGAAATCAGTCCTCAACTAGTGGGCACGATCCAAGAGTGACAGTAATACTAACCCCATCACCCATTCCCTAATAGTAAATTTCCCCTAACTGGGTCCCACATCTTATGTAAATTCCCCACTGGCAGGATGTTTAATAGAAGGGGGCTGGGATTATTATTTACATTTGTTTATGATCTGCTAGATTTCAGTGGGGGACACCCTCAGACAATGTATATATATGTATATATATATATATGTATATACATATATGTTATATTATATTACATATATATTATACATAGATATAGTCAATGTTCCAGGGTAATTACCATACCACCCACAGTTGGCAAGGTGAATGGTCGAGACAACGCCACGGCATCAGCGGAGACCAATGGAAAAGGCACAATTGTGTGGTTGTGACTGGCTGGGGATAAGTACTCATGTTAATGATATAGACGCTATATAGATAACCATTCTCATTGGATGGACACACACATTAAGTAATTGGACACAACACGATGGTTGCTGCCTTGATCGATTCACCAAAGATGCTCTAGTTTTCTTTGGCAGAATCTTTGGTTCCAAGACCAGATCATCCAGACCATGGTTTCCGGAGTGTGTTCAATCTTAGGGGGAAGGCATTCGTCAGGGTCAGCTACTACAAAACGATGATCGCGGGGTGCAGGCTTCGCGTATGCCACGCTGCTGTATGGGATGGGAGCCAGAGACCCAGTCTCTTTGAGCTGCTGGGGGTTTGGAAACGACACCTCCGACCGGGAAACTAGGTCAGAAATGCGGGGAAGTCGAACATAGCCGATCTCTCATAACCCGGAACACTTGTTTTGTTTTTAGCACTAACTACTTGGATTGGCTATCAAAGAGATTTTACATACCATCACTCTGCGGCGCCAATCATTTGTTTGAAGATTTGATCCTGAATAGACAATATTGGATACTGTTGGCTATATTTGTCAGACTTACATTATTGTAGTTAGTCTGCTCAACCTGCGAGTTTTTGCTAGTCGTTCGAATAAAACATATATAGCTGTTTGGTTTTTTGATGGCTTATATCACACAAGTTTGATCCCTTGCCGTGCCTTTATATCGTTCGATGGATTCTTCATGAGATTAGTTTTCAGATGTTCCTGGTTTTCCCCACATGTTGTGCCATTCTGCAAGGTGGTGCCCTATAGTGAAGTGACTTGGTTTGTAACCAGGCTAACCGTTAAGATTACTGAGTATACTGGAGACATATCCTACTAGTTCACTGGGCTTAAACAAATAACAATCACAACTTGGGGGCATCACCTTGTGGTTTTGCTACTGACATTTCCTTGATTCCCAATGTTGCCCTACTGAGGTGGAATATTTCCTGGGAGCTCTGGTCTTAGGCGAATCCATTGCTTGAAACGGTTGGGCTTCGGTGATTTATTTGCTGCATTGATGGCGAAACATGTTACTGTAGAGGAAGAAATTGGTGTGTTCCATACAGATTTTCATGATGCTGATAATGGTGATGATGATGAGAAGGAGGATGAGGTTGACATAGATTATCAGGATGATGATGATGATGATGATGATGATGATGATAATGAATGATGATGATGATGATGATGATGATGGTGGTGGTGGTGGTGGTGGTGGCGGTGGTGGTGGTGGTGATAATATACACAGTTTGTATTATATATATATATATCTACATATTTATGTATGTATGATATATTATATTTACACGCGCACACATCATCCATGCTTTGATACCTGGCAACCTTACAGAACGGAATGCCCACTTGGAATTTTGAAGTATCATGTGCAATTGGGCTTTCTATAACATACAGTAGTTGACCAGGGAAACCGTCGTGTCAGGCTGGTCATTGCAGGCAAATGGATGTCAAGAGACGCGTTTGCTGCTGTACACGGAGGACCCAGCTGCCAAGTCCAACCCATCATAGGTGAATCATAGACACAAGGGATGAACATGTCGTTCTCAGTAATTCTCTATTTCTATGCATGTATGTATATAATATATATATATATCCACTCCTCTTGTATTTGGGGTCCTGTACCTATATAATTATATATACTGTATTATACTGTATGATACTTTACCTTTTTTTGGTTCTGTGTTGATGGATGTTGTTGTGCATTGTGGGTCGATTGGTGATCCAATTTTCGACCCTGGAATCCACATTGCGACAGCGATGTCACCCTGGCCTGGTTGTTGCCTGCGGCAGGATGTGCCAGAAGTCTTTTTGGACGCACTGCAGGTCTACTGGACTTTGCATCAGGCTGATGGGAGTCTGTTCACTTGGTGACCTATCTTTTTTTGCGACAAGGTGATTTGCTACCGCCGAGTCTCGATCCTTTCCCTGTGATATTACTGACATATTACTATATCTTACATGATATTACTAGCTAGCATTCTACTATCATGTTCCTTGCCCATTTTGACAATAGCGAACTCCTTTTTTGCAAGTTTTCAGGCAGCCTACAATCAAAGTATATAGTAACGCCCTGAGTAGATTTGGAGACCAGGGGATGCTAAACACATCGGGGTGTCCTTTATTGGCCTCGGTTCTCTACTTCATCAATGAAGTTCGTTTCGGAGAGAAGCTATTTGTTCAGACATTGGATTGTTTTAAGGGAAAATTAACAGGAAACCCCTAGCCTATATTTGATAGTCCAAATCATGGTGTCCTAGAGATTTCCCTTAAACCAATCCAAAAAGACAGGTGTTGCATTCACATCCAGCAGAAAAAAAAATGGGGCTGAAACCATGCTTGGTGTTTTCACACAGAAAACCCCAAATCGTCAGCGTCGATATTCATGAAAACAGGGCATCAAGAGGTCTGAATCCGCTACTGGTTTAGGGATCATTTTGAATCCCCACCCATTTCAGGCACCTGTCAGATTATGTGCCCTAGGTAGATAGCATCAGTGACACAACCAGGACATTACCCCATTTGGGTATGGCTCGCGGCTGGTTGATTGGCGATGGGTGAATCCAAAAAAGTGATCAATTTTGCCATGCCGAATGTTCCTGGCCGTCTACTGGAAATCATGCAGCCAAATGGCTGAAGTATACTTCTTTGAAGTTCGGTCAAATGGCTGATGTGTGGCTTTGTTTGGGATGTTGCAGGAAAGCCTAATTTAATTTTCATGGGCAAAAAAGATGCTTTCAATCCTATAGATTTTATCTTCCAACAATCCAATGAACGATTTTCCCATTAAACCATACATGGATTTGACATGTCGGGATGTTTTCAACCAACCATGAGCCTTCAGTAGATGGTCAAGATTAGCCCTCGATAAACCCCTTTGCGCTATTGGGGAGTCACCTCGGGGGGTTGAATTCCCACTGGTTTTTGCATAGATCTTCTGACGTGAAGTCAACAAATTTGCATTCTGGTAAACCATAGGAAAATGGGAAAACCATAGGAAAACCATAGGAAAATTGAGATTTACCCTCTGGTAATTTAACATTCTTAACATACCTATTAAAGATGGTGATTTTCCATAGCTAATTATGTTCGTTTACCAGAGGGTAAGGATGCAAAAAAGATGTGTTTTTTCTTTGGCATTTTTAGTCTGTCCCAGACTTGGATGAGTTGCGGCAGAGCCATGGCCCCTTTTTTGAGGTATTTTTACTGGATTATGACTTGGGTATGGATCAATACCTATTAATACCATTTTTAGGGGGATGAACATCCATTTACCAGCTATTTTGATGTTCACCAGGGGTACAAGGTTTTGACACACTGCCACTTCTACAACCTAAGATTATATATAATACTATATAATCATATATATATATATATAACATATATATACATAATTAATAACCAGCTATAACATGTTATAACTATTAGGTGTTGTTTCACCTATTATATCATTATAAGCCAGTTGTAAGTGTTACTGTTAAGTGCTATTTTTTTCTGCAGGTGGAATACTTGCATTCCGACCCCTCCCTCTACGTGGACAAGGACAGGTCTCGTTTCCAGGTGCCGCTGCCTCCTCTGTTGACGGTATATGTATTGATTGTAACAGATTTACTGTCACTGTAACGTGCATGATGGATCTATGTTTGGGAAGATCATATATATTTTATTTATATATACACCATAGATATATATATATTATATATATATATAATATATATATATATAAATATACTCTCGGGGTCCCAGGTTTCCGCAAGCGGTGGGGTGGGGTGGGGCATGTTAACGTCATGTTCATGGTACGTTGATGGGAGGGGTGGAGTGGGGCATGTTAACGTCATATTCATGTTACGTTGATGGGAGGGGTGGGGTGGGGCATGTTAACGTCATGTTCATGGTACGTTGATGGGTGGGGTGGGGTGGGGCATGTTAACGTCATGTTCATGGTACGTTGATGGGAGGGGTGGGGTGGGGCATGTTAAGGTCATGTTCATGGTACGTTGATGGGTGGGGTGGGGTGGGCATGTTAACGTCATGTTCATGCGTACGTGATGGGCGGGATGTGGTGGGGCATGTTAACGTCATGTTCATGTTACGTTGATGGAGGAGGATTGGGTGAGGGCATGTTAAAGTACATATCATGGCCTACGTTGATGGGAGGGGTGGGGTGGGGCATGTTAACGTCATGTTCATGGTACGTTGATGCTACGTTGATGGGTGGGGTGGGGTGGGGTGGGGCATTGTTAACGTCATGTTCATGGTTACGTGCTCGCGGTGGGGTGGGGTGGGGCCATGTTAACGTCATGGCTCAGCGGTACGTGATGAGTGGGGTATGGGGTGGGGCATGTAAGGATCATGTTCATGAGTAAAGTGAGGGGGGCGGTTGGGTGGGGCCTGTTAACGTCATGTTCATGGGTTGATGGGTGGGGTGGGGTGGGGATGTTAACGTCATGTTCATTTTTGGGTGTTGGTATGTCATGGTACGTTGATGGGTGGGGGGGTGGGCATGTTAACGTCATGTTCATGGTACGTGGAAACTTTGAAAAAGAACATGTTGCAGCATGTTGCAGCAGGGTGGTGACGTTGAAACAACAACGAGCAAAAAAAAGGTGACTATCAACATGTCCCGTTTCATGCTAACATAAAAAACATTGCAAATACCAATTTAAAAACAGCCCTTCATATTACACCACGAGCGGCAGTAAAAACAGTACTTTTCCGCTTTAAAAAAACAACGACTTTCTTGAAATGTGCTATTTCGTGTGGGAAAACAAGAAAATCAGAAACTTTGAAAAAGAACATGTTGCAGCAGGCTGATGAAGTTGAAGCAACAACGAGCAAAAAAAAGGCTGACTATCAACATGTGCCGTTTCATGCTAACGTTAAAATTCACTGCAAATACCAATTAAAAAAAGACACCTCTTCATATTACCCCACGTGCTGCAGTAAAAAAATGACAATTCCGGATTAAACAAAACAAATAAATTCGTGAAAAGTGGTATTTCGTGTAGGAAAACATGAAAATCACAATTGACATGTGCTGTGGATAACATGTCATAACATGCAACTTGCGCGGGCCTAAAAATTTGGCTCCGTAACATTGTCATTAAAGAAAGAAAAGGAAAAATGTGCAAAATCCACATTTCGCTGTGCCGAAACAATGATTTTTGAAATATGGATCAATGAGAACCAAGATACTCTGCGGAAACCTAGGGCCCCGAGCGTATATTATTTATAATTTATATGAATAAGGAATCATTTCTATTCATGTCTTATGTTTGTAACAATATCTGAAATGGTTTTGTCTTAAGGATACCCCCAAGTCCCATGGTTTAATCAACTGTTTCCATCTGTTTCCCATGTTTTCATATCTGTTTGGGGGTATCCCCCATGTTCAGATAAACCCACATCATTGATGATGCATTTGAATAACATGTGGAAATATGTGTAAATGACACACTGGACATGTATATAGTTACTGTAGCACATATAATTGACATATAAACATCCACATATATTAACATATATAGTTTGCATACAAACCACTGCGAAAACTCCGACTGTGATTGCAGTTGGCCCAACTAACAGCGCATCCTGTTTTGCACCCATGAACGCACACGAAGCGTTCGTCCTTGAGCCACGGAAGTGGCGGATCAAAAGGTTGGATTCCCTTGGTCAAGTGATATGGAACCTTCAGGTGACACACAGCACTCCCAATGTAGTTGACCAAGGGTTGAATCCACGGTGCAAAATTTGATTGATACTCTTCTATTAGTCGGTTAATGTCGGTTACGACTCGCAAACAAATTGGCCTCCTACGCTTGAAAGTGGGATCATTCCGACGTGAACTCAGCTCTTGTGCTACATCTACAAGACTCAAAACGCCTGATCTAAGAAACTGTTTCAATGCATCATTTGCTCTCAGAGGATCTTCTTTGGTGAGGCAGTCCACAATCATCTTCTGATGTGGAACCCACCGGACCATCGATTTCGTCTGCTGAAGATCTTTCAATACAATCGCATACTTTCGGTCTTGTTTTCCAATTGGGTGTTCTCGCAGAAGGCAGTTGTACAATGACTTGGCATCAGTCACTGAGCACTGCTGTTGTCGACCACCGAGCTCACATTCTCGTGGTAGTACCAGCATGTGTGGTGACAGGGAATTCCTCCAACTTTTCAGCTGAACGTCATGAAGGGTCGCGTCTCTGTACATGATTTGAAGCCAGTCAACCTCGTTCACACCTTGCAACATCGCCTGAGTTTCATCTCCATAGGTTGAGAAAAACTTCCGCTTGAGCTTACTGCTTCTCCATGCCATAGGACTGGCTTTCACCCGCTGCCCTTGGTCAAGTGATGATATGGAACCTTCAGGTGACATGACACACCGACAATAGGAAACATATAAGGGGCGGACATTGGTTTCCAGAAATTGTACAAGCATGAGGTAAGCAATGGGACCTTCCCAAATAGCAATACCCCGTTTGAAGGTTGCCAGTCCACATACATCATTTTCCTTCAGGCGATACCCTCCAAATTTGCCATATCTTATTGTTGTATAAACATGTGCTAAGCCATGTGACCTTCCCAAATTTGTTGATGTCCTTTTTGATGAACCTTGAATTTCCCAGATTGATCATATTTGATCATATTTGACTAAAATGACTAAAACTTGTAATTAGCAAATGTAAAGGACACTGTGTAACACAACCTGTAGGGGAATTATGTTACATGTGCCAAAGGTTTCTTGAGATTTGGCAATTGTTTCCAACGGCCATTTCAGGAACCTAACTTGGAGGTATCTACCATATATAAGGCCTATGTAAGGGCTATGTAAGAGGATACAGTATATCCCCAAAATATCATATTATGGCTTACAGTACAGTACCTGAAATTCCCAGTACATATATATATATGTATATATAATTATATAATATATTATAATATATATATATATGCCCCCCATCTCCGTCTCCCTGTTTCTCGCTTCGGGTGGTGGAGGCAGTGTTTACGAAGATTCAAGTGCTGTCCTGCACGGACTATTCGAAGGAGTCACATCGGGTTGGGAGTGAGTGAGTGAACTACAGGATGGTGCCCCCCAGTTACGTTTGTTGGTTTTTAAACCCCATTGATTAATTCTAGTCATCTACAATTCTATAGTTATATCTACCATAAACCATAACTAAGCCACTAATAGGTCAACTTAGCTATCTTGGGAGCCCCATCCTGTACCAACGAAATAGGGATATTAACGATCACAATCAACAAACGCCAGGACAAACCCAATCGCGACATGGGGGTACATAAATCATCATAAACCAACTGGTGACGACCAGTTTGATATGTATATTTAGTTGCCACACATCACATGTGGATATTTACTACCCAGCTAATACGCAAAGTGTCTAAGATTAAGAATAGCCATCTACGGTGTGTTGAACCAATGTGTTTCAGAAGGATGATTGAAGAGACAACATAGATCTGCTGCCCTTGAAAAAACAGCTTGGTGGGAAACATCATATTCTTTCAGATGCGACTTTTGACAGTTCTTGTTCATGAAAGCTGAAGAAAACTGATACCCTCTGGTAATTTAGCATAGTTATGGAAAATCACTATTTTTAATGGGAAAATCCACTATTAATGGTCATTTTCAATAGCTACGTTAAATTACCAGAGGGTAAGCACTGCTGAGATGTGATGAAAACTGCCGTTCGGCAGCTTGCCTTTGCGAGTGGATCCCATGATTTCCTATACTACCTGGGACGATCATTGAACAAGCAACAAACGGATGATGTTTTCATGGGATATTATGAGCTTGTCGGTAGCAGAATCTAGCCATTAAACATGCTGTGATCATCTATCAATGCCTACTATTGTATATAATATTATTTATATAATATTAGATATGTTACAATAAATTATGTCCATCATCATTCCCCATGATATTTTCCCATATATTCCCCATGTTTCCACCATTGAAATGGTGCTGGAAATGGTGCTGAAAAACCACCAGGTTCTGATGATGGATCTGGACATGTTGGTTCGCGGAAACCTGGATGAGCTGTTCCAGTTGCGCCGCTTGGTGCGCCAGGGCGAGGCTGGTGGGTTTTCATATGAAAAAATCTGGGTATATAAATTTCATCACGACCGAACCCTGTTCTCCCGAGCCCTGGAAATCATGAAGTTAGATTGCGGGGAATCATCCCCAAAGCCGCAAGATTCAGGTTGAGTGAAATATTATAATTTACGCAGAAGAATGGAGCCCCAAACCAGCATCCCCCTAGCACAAGAAGGGAGTTGAACCAGCCAAAATGGAGATTCAATCATGGCTAATCATCAAGAAATGGGATTTAAATTTCAAAGAATGGAAATGTCCACTCCGAGTTCAAAATTGTGATGGATATATCGAACTAGTTGGAATGAGTAACATAAAGCAACCAGCATAAAAGGGGGGCCCACTTTGCAAAGTTGGGTGTTTCTTTTGTTAGAGCTATTGGATAGCTATGTCATCATGCTTGAACATCAAATCATCAGCAATACTGGATCTCTTCGATCTTTGCTGTTTGTTTTGTTTGTTGTTGTTTTGACCTGTGCTTGTGGGAATGGAGATCATTCTATTTCAATATACATATACATATATACACACACGTGTATATATCTTTATACATGTATATATATATATGTATACATAGTTCCCACTAAATGTTCCATGATATTTCTCCACTATTATCCACTATCTATGTGTATGTATGTATATAGATATATATTGTTGTATTGTATTGTATTATATTATATGATATGCTACTAGGTTATACTTTATTTTACTTTATTATACTATATTATATTATAATATGTTATTTTATTGTGTTATTTTATATAGTTTATTTATATTATGTTTTGTTTTGTTTTAGCATATTATGATATATATATATATTATGTCATATTATATTATGTTATATTATGTTTTAAATATAAATATATATTATGTTATATGCTTTATATTTTTCATGTGTTTTCTACACATACGTTCCTGTTGTGCCACCATAAATATCACCATGACCATGGATATTTCACCTTCCGTGCCGCGGGCACACCCAGGTGCACCCGCAGCCTTGAAGCGATGCTCAGGTGGAAACTGTTCTCGGTGGATCTTCAAAGGGATGGCTTTGCGAAGAAGCTGCAGTTCAAGCCATCTACCAGTTGTTTTTATGGTTGTAAATGGGGTTATCATTCGATAAATGGAGTTATTACTATATAACTTATAACTGGTTTTTATTACTGACTTATATTTTGTTTAGGGTCATTACTGTGGGCAAGTCGCAAATTTTACATCGAACACATCAATTTTGAAGGGATATTTGGATAGATAATGATACATATTTACTACTTCAAAGTCTATAGATTAATGAATAAAAATGAATATTGAGCAACAACGATGATAATGTAGGTAAACACATGAAGAAAATACATGAAAATTCAGCCTTAAAAGTATGAATTCAGCAGACAAACTTGGCAGACAACAATGCGATCTACCATCAGCAACTGCCAATTACTGGTACAATAGGAGTTGCCAATCGGACATTGAACCGACAAGTTTGTGGGATTATCATTGGATTATCCAACAATTCGTTGGATGCAAGCAGGGGATTTAATCAGCATCACTTTTAGCAGCATTCTACTGTAGATTCAAGTGGCAAAACAAAAGGAATATGAACATCATATGAACATCCGAACCATGTCATCCGGGGGCCGTAAAACAACTAATGAAGGCCCTCCTTTACGACTTACACGCAGTTCTATGTATGTAAGTATATATATTTATACAGTATATACATTTGATCATTTTTGCGTTTTATTCCACCCAAACATTTGGTTCATCTATGTTCTTCAGGGCTGACGACTTGGACAGGTCGTGAACAGCCGGACCATGGGTGCGACTACGTGTCGGAGGACGGGGAAAAGCGCGACCTCACCACGGTCATCTGATTTAGGGGATGGTCTATTTTTGGGTTTACCACATTAGTGGACTAGATTGCCCATTAATTCTCAATCATTCTGTGTTATTTTTTGTGTTAATGGATTGATATGTCACATCCTGGTTTAAAGTCGTTTCTTTACAAGGTATCTTATAGTCTTAAATGTTCCGTTTGTTCTTTGAAGCATCACCATTGATTCATGGTATTTGATTAGATCCATTTAGATCCACATGTTGAAGGTTTCAACGGCAAAATGACCCGCCCAAGGACTTCTACAAAGCACAAGCGGCCGATGTCTCAGCGGTGACGAAGACGAATTGGAATTCAATCCACGCAAGATGGCAATAGGTGGGGATTAATGTGGAGATATCTTAAACTGGATCCCCAAGTCACCATGGGTTTCAATACTAAACTTGTTTAATTTTGGATGATTTGGGGGTACCCGAATTTAGGAAACCTCGATGTGGCGCTCAAGTAATGGAATGAAATGATATACGATCCATTCAATCAGAAGTCCATGAAGATACTCCCTAAACTTATGGCCCTGATAAATGGGCCTGAAATGGAATGAAGTAACTCCTGCAACTAGGTATTAAGATATGTAAACTAAATCACTTATCATCCCATTATGTACAGTGATTTCCCATCATGTTTCCTATCACTTTCCCATCTGTTACAGTGATTTCCCATCATGTTTCCTATCATTTTCCCATCTGTTAAGGGCAATTATTGTTTCAGATATGGAGGTTTTCTAAAATGGGGGTACCCCCACATCCAAGTCATTAGATAAACCATGTTTAGTATTGAAACTGACGGTTTGGGGATCCCATGTTAAGCCACAACCATGCCCAGGACGATATGCGAGGTGGTATGAACGCAGGCGCCAGGCTCTCAGTGAAGGTCGTTGGGATGCTAGCATACAAATTGCATATAAGACTCCCCACAGTCATAGCCTTTAACAGTTATAATTGGTTTATATCTTATAATGATTACAAGTGTATATATATGTATATTTGATTAGATATATTATAATCATCTAATGATTGGCTAGATATCCAGCCTTAAGTGGACCTGCAACCCTCCAGCATCGTTGAAGCCTTTCACAGTGATAGTTGGCTTATTATAGTCCTTAACGGATGGGAAAATCATGGGAAAATCAGGGGAAATCACCATACATATTGTAATTAGTGGGGTTATAGCTGGCTTATTTCATGATATATCACCAACTAGTTGCAAGAGTTATAAGCCTATTTAAGTATAACTGTTAAGGGCCAGAACTGCATGTTTCAGCATATTTCGATGAGAATCCCCATTGACCATCACATTCTTCATCGGGGCTTTCAACCACCAGTCTGTGACTTTGGGCTTATCACCGCGCAGAAAAAAGGTTGCTGCTTTCGCAAAATTGGTGTACGAATATGTTGGCATATTTGTGAGCTAGGAGTGATTTTAGTCGAGTGACTTGCCGCAAGGCTCCATTGGGCTTGTGGTTCCATGGGTGCAGCGATATCCTGGTTAAACACTACTAACAATCATTAACCACTATTAACAATCATTAAAGTAACCACTATTAACAATCATTAACCACTATTAACAATCATTAACCACTATTAACAATCATTGACCACTACAATCATTAACCACTACAATCATTAACCACTACAATCATTAACCACTTTTAACAATCATTAACCACTACAATCATTAACCACTATTAACAATCATTAACCACTACAATCATTAACCACTATTAACAATCATTAACCACTATTAACAATCATTAACCACTATTAACAATCATTAACCACTACAATCATTAACCACTACAATCATTAACCACTACAATCATTAACCACTACAATCATTAACCACTACAATCATTAACCACTACAATCATTAACCACTACAATCATTAACCACTACAATCATTAACCACTACAATCATTAACCACTACAATCATTAACCACTACAATCATTAACCACTACAATCATTAACCACTACAATCATTAACCACTACAATCATTAACCACTATTAACCATCATTGACCACTACAATCATTAACCACTACAATCATTAACAATCATTAACACCACTACAATCATTAACACACTATTAACAATCATTAACCACTACAATCATTAACCACTATTAACAATCATTAACCACTACAATCATTAACCACTATTAACAATCATTAACCACTACAATCATTAACCACTATTAACAATCATTAACCACTACAATCATTAACCACTATTAACAATCATTAACCACTACAATCATTAACCACTATTAACAATCATTAACCACTACAATCATTAACTACTATTAACAATCATTAACCACTACAATCATTAACCACTATTAACAATCATTAACCACTACAATCATTAACCACTATTAACAATCATTAACCACTACAATCATTAACCACTATTAACAACCAGTACAATCATTAACCACTATTAACAATCATTAACCACTACAATCATTAACCACTACAATCATTAACCACTATTAACAATCATTAACCACTACAATCATTAACCACTATTAACAATCATTAACCACTACAATCATTAACCACTATTAACAATCATTAACCACTATAGATATTGGCAACCAATGTACCAGACATGTCTTTCGCATCCACCCGAGAAAAACATCTTTCGCACCATGCAGCGACTGATCCACTGGAGGTGATGTTGCTAGAGCCTGACATGGCGATTTATCAGCGCATGTGTCGTGAGATCCAGGCGCCGCCGAAGGGGGAGAGTTTTAAGGGACTTGAATGAGTTGAAAATGCACTTTAATGGACTTTGAACTCATTGAACTATGATATAATTATCTTGAATTCATGATGTGTAATGATTATATAGGGATGTATACTATATGAGTTTCATATATGAATATTGTGTAGATAGGGATTAAACTATATATATGTAATATCTATGGGTGTATGATGTCTATGAACTATGAAACCCGATTATGATATATAGATTAAATAAGCAGCAAAACCATATTGAGATGTCATCAAGGAGAATATGTAGAGTTCATCAACAAAACATCTTGGATTTCTGCCGAAGGGAGTTGCTGATTGGCTCCAGATGTGGGTGCCTCTTGGCCCAAAAACTGATCCTTGATAGGTATATGGTACTTACATGTACTTACTTACTTGTGATTTTTTACCTAGATATTTCCTGTCTGACATACTACCACCAGCCATACTGGTATTGTTACTTTAAGAGGAAAAGTCAGCAAAGGCACCTCGGAAAACAAAAAACGGGACCCAACAACAAAAAACGTTTTATATGTTGTTGGAATTCTAAACCATCTATATAGACTAGCCATGAATTTTTGGGGTCCAGTAACCGGATTGCACCTCAGGTTCACATAAGCACGGGTGCCATCTTTATGTAGTGGGTATCGATCAAAATGACTTGGGTGAATGATTATGATTGGACCCTTATGAACATGAACAATGAACATTGTTTATCATTTTGCATACCTAGCAATATGTCAAAGTTGGGGCTGGTAGAAGAAGTCGCAATATGTGCATCAAACGTACTGACACAGCCCACGATAGTATTAAGGAGAGGTTTCCATATTTTCAATATCATATTCAATCTTCATAGCTAGTTTGCACCATTGTTTCCCCGCCTGCAAATTAACATAGATGCGGAAAAGCCAGCATAAATGTAGATTATTTTCCAAGGGAAAGCATGAGTGTTCCACATCAAAGTTAGTTTACCCAGGGTAATCCAGGGTTGACATGATAGGATCAGCAGCCATGTTTCTCTGCAAGGACCCATGGCACCCCGAGCATTTGGTTTCCTTCACTCCCGAGCATCTTGGCTGATTTTGGCAACTTGCCATCGTTATTGCAGCGCAAAACGGGCACAGTTCATCCATGGTTTCCCTGGTCATTTGACACTGCATGGGCAGACCAAAGGCAAGACTACTTGGGGCGTTTCTATGGCACCTTCGCTTGTGGAAAGTGGACACATCTTCACGCGAAGCTCCCTGGCGGGCAACTGATCTGGTGGTCTCAAGTCATGTTAACCCAGGATTTTGCTAAACACCAATTTGAATAGGTTACTTTATCAAAGTTAACATAAGTGGATCAATCCTAATGTTAACCTAGATTACCAGTGGGAGGGGTGTAGCCATTTTCATTATAATTCATCATAATTTTTATCATGTACCCCGCAATTAAACAGGCAAGGGGAGTGGTTTATCAATCAAAGGTTGACTTTTGTTCATCATGGTCTGGATTCACGATCCCAATGGACTGTATAAGTGTTTTTTTCTGGTGATGAGGGATGCCCAATTTTGAGGTCAAACAGGGATCATTGAAGATTGTCTAAAGATGTACAAAATTGGAAGTCATGCAGAGGACAGTCAGGAAGACCATGGTGCCCCACTAGTTCGCTAAGTTTGCTTACAATTTGTATCATTAGGGTTACATAATTGTAGATACAACTTTAGCTTGGCGGGATTGCACTTATAACTGGGAGGCAACACCTTGGAAAAACGATTGCCAAGTTGAAAGCCATGCAGAACATTGCTTGATCCAGGGAGGGCAATGAGTACAAGTTCATCAGCGGGGTCATTGCAGGAACGCAGTGCGCAGGGCTATAGAAAACCCTGAAGCAGTGTGGATCACTAATTTCACGTGTTGTGATGAATGTTCCAGACACACCCAAATATGCTTTAGATATCTTATCGATTGTCACATGTTGCTATTGTCGCTGGTTGTAAGGTGTGTGTACAGTATACATATTAACATATATATATATATATTAATGGGGAATTCACTGCTGATGAACACCTGCCCTGCGCATCATTAGTTTATATCTTCTGCTTCCCCGACTCAGGAAGTGACAAGTTGGTTTCCTGGGGAAGAATCAGTATCCTCCAGACGCTGAAAGGGCGGTGAACGCACATAAGCGATAGACCATGACCATGACTGAACCCCTTGGGAGACACATGCTTTGTTGTGAAGAGTAGAATCATTCTGTATCATCCGCAAGGCCGTGTTCATATGCCAAAATCCCAAGACGTTGATGATAATGTTCAGCATGCAAGCCCATTGTTTTTTGTTGCTTTCATATACAGCTGTAAAACTCATGGTTTTGAAGAATGGTATAGAGGAATGATCATAGTCCCTACTATATAAAGTTTTATTTGAAGGGTGTTCACCATGTTCAGACAAACTAATGTTGTGCAAATAATCCAAGCAATTGTAAAAGTAGACAAAGATAGACAAAGTCTGTTCAATGGTCAGATTTCATTACGAGAGGGTACAAGTAATAGAGCCCACCAATTATATCAGAAGTGGGTTGATGGCCATTGCCAACGCATATGTCCCCAAGTATCTACCATTCATTATGTACCATTATCATCCATTATCTACCATTATCTACCGTTATCTACCATATATGAATTTGCGCATTTTTTGGGGAAGAACTTTCATAAAGGTATTCGTTGTTTAGATGCGTTTATATAGCGTTTATATAGATTATGTACACCTAGTTTCGATAGGTGTCATCATCTAATCAATCTTCCATGGCCAAGCTTGACCTGTGCAACTTCAGTGAGGTTCAACTACCAACCAAATCTTCCTGACAACTACGTTGGCTCGGCGCACAAAGCCATCGATGTGCCTCGATCAAAGGTTCGGAGGTATGGCTATTGCCATATGTTTAGGAAGGATTTGGTTGCAACTTTTTGAGAGAACCATGCTGCTTTCACAACTGAAGAAATTGGGTCCGGTTGTTTGTAAATATAGTGTACATTATACTGTACATGTACTCTACATCTACTGTATATTATACTGTATATATTTGGATGTACATATAGTGTACATAGACATAATATACATGTTTGGCACATATATATATATATTATATATATGTATGTATGTATATATATATATTTATTTATTATTTATTTGTCACGAGCCTATTGGCTAGTTGTAAAGCAACCGATCGCGATCCCGAGCGGTTTGCAGCTTCAGGTGCTACGAGATGTCATGGTGGCGCACTACAGTGGCGGTCGAGTCTGGAGCCCCAAACTGAAGATCAACATTGATCAACCAATGGATGTGGAGGTACCAAGCTTTTTCCAAGCCCAACTCTTCGTACGCGTGTGTCTACGAGACCAAGCCGTGCCACGCCTTGGTTCAAGACCGATTTGTTGTTCTACCCGGTGGTTGGTCCGTTGCTTGCTGACCAGAGGGGTGCTTTGCATTTCCAAAAGTTATAGTATATTTGCTATAAAAGTTATATGCACACTAATATACATACATTGATATTATCAATTATCCATAGCCTTTAGCTAAATAATGAATCTGTGTTTTCTGCTCAAATTTTTGGCACCATCGCACAACCCTGTGGACATGCTGCATTCCATGGCATCAACTACCATTTTCTTATATCAGGATGCGGGTCCAAAAGTCTGCCAACACCCAAATAACGATTCCTTTCTGGAGGGATAACCTGTCTGACATGTTTGACATGTCTTATATAAATGTGCGGTACGCCAAAGTCAGCGTTTTTCTTCATTGTTTCCACAGTTATAGCCAGTTATAGCCCATTAACAGGGCCTGAAATGGGATTATAACTCCTGCAACTAAGGTTATATCATGAAATGAGCCACTTAGAACTTTAAAAATGCAATGACATGCAATGACTGCAGTTTCACTTGGAGTTTTTGTTAGAGGGCCCCTCCATTTCTCGATCTCCCTTTGGGTGATTTCCAGCCTTGAGGTGAAACCTTGGAAGATCCCCTGGCTGAAGATGGACGCCCCTTGGCTTCCTTGCGCATGGGGAAAAAACACCCAACATTTGCGCTGGGGGTGTACAGTGTGAGTGTTTGGGAGTGCTTGTGGAAGACGGCCTATCTGACTACCCAGGTCTGTGGGAAACGTGGCGGGCCACTGGGAAATCGCATATAGAATCAATGGACGCTTATAGCTGGGAAAATCATATATATATAAGTCATAAGTATCAGAAATTGGGGGATTGTCCAGCAAGCCACGTTTGAGTAGCGGGGTCTACTTCCTGTGCTACATGAATTGCATGATTCCGGATTGCGCAGTTTCCATTGAACTGAAGTTGTACAAACACATAAATATTATAAATCCCTTTGCACTAAGATCTGAGATCTTCTCGTGCTCACGTACTATTCCCCCAAGTTCCTTTGAGACCTCTCTGAAACCCCAAGGAAGCAGAAACAATTTGTGTTTTTCTAGAAATAACCATTTGCGATGAGAGGGCTATTTATTTATTTGTTTTTCTCGCGGCAGGCTTTGGATTTTTTGGGGTTCCTGGTTCTATGCTTTCCTGGTTCTCTGATGTTCTGCTTTTCTGCCTCTTTGCTTCTCTGCTTTTCTGCTTGTCTACTTCTCTGCTTTTCTGCTTCTCTGCGCTTTTCTGCTTTTGTGCTTCTGTGCCTGTCTACTTCTACTATTCTACTTTTTCTTTTCTTCAGTCATGTGTTTTTGCTGCTCTAAATGAAACCCTAAATGAAACCCTCAAGAAGCACCAAAGAAACCCACATGAACGCTTGGAAATCCTGATAAGAAATCCTGATCAGAAACCCTCAAATGAAATCCTAAATGAACCCCTAAATGAAACCCTAGATGAAACCCTAAAGAAGCCCTAAATGAAACCCTGAATGAAAGCCTCAAGAAAATATCAAGAAACTCACTGAAGTACCAAACTGGAGCAAATACCATGCAAATGAGAGGTTGAAGTACCAAAACGTGGCAAATACCATGCAAAATGGAAGGCAAACATGGCCAAAATGTAGCAAATACCATGCAAAATTGCAGATTCTAGTTCCAAACAGTTGCAAATACAAGGCAAATGGTACCAGGAAAGAAACCAAAACAACAAAAAAAACAAAACCTGAGCCGAAAAAAAAGCAAAAACTATTCTGAACCCTTTGTTATGTGGCGGGTTGTGAACATGAGGCATCCAAGTCACCATAAGTTTCAATACTAAGTCAAGATGACTTGGATGACTGTGGGGTACCCACATGACTTCGGAAACCTCCATTTGGGGATTCTTCACCACCATAGAGAACCAACCATGGCTATTTCGGGTCTAAGAACGTAAATCTCTGCACGCAACCTTCGTCATGAGGTGATGGGCGTGCGCCGCTTGTTGGAGGAAGCAGCAACTCGTTTGCTGCGCTCCCTGAAAACTGAGCTGGAACACCAAAAGATGATTAAAACATATTAAACTATCAAGATTTGATAAGATTTACAGGGGAAACATCTGAGATTCATGGTAGACCCAGTAAACCGTTTTCCGAGGGTTCAATCTTACTGTTGTGCGGGATCCAAGTCAATATGGCTACAGGCTACAGGTGTTTTTACCTGTGAAATGGTCACTGAACTTGGCTTCCCCTCCGACACAACAAAGGATGTATATCTATGTAGAAGTAGATAGACTGGTATGTATGTGGATATACATATATATATATATATACGTATATAAAATAATAAATATATATATATAGTTCATATGTATATTATGTAGAATATATACATATAACATATACAGAACCATATGCATCTATGTTATCTATGCATAATCTTTTCTGTATGTACATACAATATATGATATATGTATATACATATAGTGTGCATATATGCATTAACATATATCCTGCATGTGTTCACGTGTAAATCATATATCATTATATAATTATCATTCTATATATATATATATATCATCATGATGATATGATGTGACATCACTCCTCAATCACATGCCGCAGTGGTTTTCGCAGCGGCAGGAGGACTTACAAGATCAAATGGGTCGCTCCGAGTTTCAACCGAAGGCAGTGCAGTTGGCGGTGGGGCCAGAGGTGACGTAGGGTGGAGTCATGTTGACGGAAGCATGGTATACCTGGCTTGTTCTACGCAGCGAACTGGAAGATACTGGAAGCCTCACCATCCTTTATCATTTTTGTATATGTTTATCATGTATAAATCGCCAATGTTTCACCGATGTTCCATATTTGGTACCTGAAGTATCCCCTGATCCAAACAGTCCAAGCCCCATTCGACGGTCCAAGTTCAGGTCCAGCGACCTTCAGTGGTGATGATGGATGGAGTTCTGGCGGGGCGCTGTGATTTTGATGAGGGACATGGTAAGCTTACCATTAATGGTTGACAATACTATATCAGACTAACTAAGAACAATATAATAATAATGATAATAATGATAATAATTTATAATATATATATATATATATAATGTCTTTATATATATATATTATATATATGTGCATAATATCTAATGATGGGATATAGCGGGATACATAACCACTATTTAACTGCCTTCGGCAAGCCCGCCGGCCATATAGAGGTGGTCCCAAGGGAGTCTGATGTGCATTCTAGGTGGAAGGCCGTGAGAGAGCAGAAGAGAAAATAAGGAGAATAAAAAGAAGAATAATAAGAAAGGAAGACGAAGACAAAGCCTTAAACGGAAGCGGCTTGTGTAGCAAGGTTTGCTGTAACAACCTTTTGACCTTTACCAAATTAGTACCGGCCCCAGCAAAGTAGCGCCAGGTACTATGTATGAGCCTCTGGCTTGACAGCAGACTGCTGCATGGAAAGAGACAGGGTGGAAGCGGAGAGATTGCCCCAAGGGAGGTTGACGTGCACGCTACAGTATGTGGAAGCTTGAGAGAAGAAGAGATGAATTGAGTAGCAAGTGCGTGCTTGAACAACCAATGGCACGCATACGAAATGAGTACTGGTCGATCAGCACCGTGTGCGTCCTATGACGGGTATCTGTAGACGACGGTAACGCTGTAGGCAGTGCCATTAGTTACTGGCACGAGTGTAGTAGTTGGGGAAGAAGGGAGGAAGGAGTAGAGGAGTAGAGGAGTAGAGGAGTCGGAGTAGGCGTAGGAGTAGGCGTAGGAGTAGAAGTAGAAGTAGCAGTGGCAGCAGCAGCAGTAGCAGTAGCAGCAGCAGCAGCAGTAGCAGTAGTAGGAGTATAGGAGTAGGAGTAGGAGTAGCGGGGGGGTGACCTTGATTCAGACGAAGCAAAAACGCGCAGCAAGAGAACAAAGGAACAAGTACAAGCCAAGAACGGAAACAAGAACAACACCTTCCAATCAGACACGCCGGCAGGCCGGCGGATTAACCGGGGTTGCTCGATGCTATTTTATGTAAATTGGTCATTGCATAATTTCCCCCGTGCACCTGGGGCGTTGGGAGCTGGAATGCAAGGGTTCTGCGAGCTGGTCATGAAAGCTACTAGACAAAGCCGGGTGAGTTCTTTGCTCGTGGATCATGACCCAAGTCCACGAAGGAATATCTTGCCTGTACTCAAGGGTGTACTCAAGGTTAGCGATGAACAAAGGAAGGACATTCGAAGGCAAACACGGTGCTGGCTCAAAGTATGATATGTTCTCAAAGCAAATCCATGCAGAGATGAATGGTGCAACAGGCTGCAACGCATGGAATGCTAAAAGACCGGTGTCCTCTGACAAGAAGTTTAGTCCAAACCATTTCTTGTTGGAACCCCCTCTCATATTTGATAATAAAATTCTAAGCCTCTTGTAACATGTCCCTTTGTTTCCCTACTGGTGGTTGGGAGAAGGCCCTACCTTTGGTAGAAACTACTCTTGCAGGTTCATGCCATTTAGATCCGTTTAGCACCTGGTTGACAACCATGAATCCCAAGATTGATTGGAGAGGGAATTGGCAAAAAGTTAGATCTGGTTTGCACATCCATTGTGTCCTGCAGATGTGCTCTTCAACCAATTGAATGAAAACGCGAATACTCCGAGTGATCTACTAACCAGGCCTACTAGCAACTAACCAGGCTTACTAGCCTTCAAGTGCAGAAGTGCGCAGGTCCATAAGATGAACAAGTGTTTTGTCCACACCATGTATATGTATATGTATATGTATATGTATATGTATATGATTGTATATGTATATGTATATGTAAATGTGTATGCATATGGTACATAGGTGTATGTATACATGGCTATGCATATGCATATGGATATGTATGTGCATATATATACTATATATATATAGATAGATAGTATCAGTTGATTTTGATTGCCTCAGCCCTGGCAGGTGGATCTCCCGCCCAAAGATGCCAACGAGCTGCCGGAGGATGTCCGGCAGTTGATGTGGGCCCGGAGGCCCAGAGGTGGCAAAATGAGGTGCTTGTGGAGGGGGAAACTCTAGGGTTGACTGGATGACCAAAGGTGTTTTTCTTACAGAAATTGGCGCTTCCAAATGGGGAAATGGTACATGGTAGGAAAATTGGGAAGTGATAGCAAAATTATGGAAAAATGATGGGAAAACATTGGAACATGATGGGAAACCAATGGCAAAATGGGATAACAGGTATAGATGGGATTAAAACTCTTGCAACTGGTTGGTTGTATGTCATGAAATAAGCCAGTAACATAACTGGCTTGAGGTGCCAAACTTCAGTCCCTCTTGGCAAGATTCTCAAAATTTCCTTGGCATATTCCATTTATATTTGGGAATATCATTGTGATTTCACCAACAAATCTGGGGATAAAATGGTGATACAAATCTGGATATGTTGCTACCTCTCCTTATTTGACTTTTTATAGCATCCTCATACCGACTATCCCCAGCAGCAAGGAATGGGTCTTGGCACTGCGAGAGTGCAACCGACAGCTCTTGGAGGTGCGAACCATATTGCTATGGGTTACAGTTATTGTCCTTGACAGGTACAACTGGCTGATTTCATGATATATAACACACTAGTTGCAAGAGTTATAATAAGCCCATTTATAACTATTAGGGGCCATAACTGTAAATTCTTGGAAACTTACATAGTTATGGAAAGTCAACGTTTTTGAAAAGTAAATCAACTAATTATAAATTGGCCATGTTCCATAGCTATGTTGCATTGTGTAGCTATATTTCCCCAAACAGCGTGGCCACACTGAAGGAGTTCTTACTTATGGCAAGTGTTAAGGCCCGGTGTTCAGTCGAGGTCGCACAAAATGCCTCTTGTGATATGTCCATGTGCATTTTGACCGCGCAGGCTCGCACAAAATGTGTGTCGCGGGATACGGGTCTGGCATTTTCCGGGTAAATTTCAGCACAAAATGTCTCTTGTGACATGTCCATGTGCATTTCGATTGCGCAGACTCGCACAAAACGATGCCGCCGGAGGTGTCCCCTGTCGTTTTTCGTTTAAATTTCCATACAAAATGGCTAATGTCCATGTGCATTTCGACTGCGCAGGCTCGCACAAAACGATGTCCCCGGAGGTGTCCACGGCAATTTTTCCTGTAAATTTCTCACAAAATGGCTCTTGTGCAATGTCCGTCTGCATTTCGACTGCGCAGGCTCGCACAAAGTGTGCTTCCCGGTCTGGGGATCGGTCTTCCTCCTCAACATCCTCCTCCTCCACATCATCATCTTCCTCCTCTTCAACATCAACATCATCATCTTCCTCTCATCATCTTCCTCTCCTCCTCATCATCATCAACATCATCATCATCATCATCACCATCATCATTATCATCATCATCACCATCATCATCACTCTCATCATTATCACCATCATCATCATCATCATCACCATCATCATCATCATCACCATCATCCTTACCATCACCATCATCATCTTCATCATCATCATGATCACCCTCATCCTTATCACCCTCATCATCACTATCACCATCATCAATCATCCTCATCATCACCATCATCATCACCGTCATGATCATTATCACCGTCGTCGTCATCATCATCATCATCATCACCATCATCGCCATCATCATCAATATCATCACCATCATCCTCACACCATCAACATCATTACCATCAGCATCACCAGCATCGTCATCATCATCATCAGCAGCAGCAGCAGCACCATCATCAACTTTAATTACCATCATCATTTACATTAATTAACATCATCATCAACATTATAATACATTCTCCTTTTACTCCCCCAACACTGTTTGGGGTCTCTTGCCGGGATGGTCTTTTTCCGTGACACAAGCAAACCAATAGCAAAAAACAGAACCAACACTAGATATATCATGGGTACGCAGCCAAGCCCGGTCAGCATCTTGACGTGGCTACGTTGATGGTGATTTAACGAGCAAAAAAGGGCGGTGTACGACCATTCTTATTTGTAGATGTAATATAGAGGTTTCCTGAAATAGGGGTACCCCAAAATCACCCATTGTATTTTAGGCTTTTCCATGAAATAAACCATTGAGCTATTGGGGTAGCCATATTTATGGAAACCCCCATATGATGTAATGGGATATAACATGATATAACCATTCCAAAACTGATCCCCAAACATTGTTGGTTTGATGTTTTGGGTTGATAGGCGCCTTTTGGGGGAAGGGTGAATCCACATGAACATACGTCTTGGATGGTTGCAAAATCCGAATCACTAGTTTGTAACTATTGGAAACTTTGAAACATTGTAATAAATGTAAATAATCTGATTATGTGGGGATAAACCATGTACCAACTGGCGCAGGATTTCGCAACCATCCAAAACATCATATTTTTCCACATATTTTTCCACCAGAACAAACACAAATTTGGGGTGTATATTGCATGTTCAGGCAAACCTAGCCCAAATCCAGACAATTCGTGCATGATCTAAGTCCCTTGGTTTGGACACTCATCATTGCCTTATTTGTTTTGGACAAACTCAAATCATGTTGTTGGATATGTGTACAGTGTAAATATTGCTATGTATATATATATATATATATATATACGTATGGAACCGTATGTATATTCATATATATATACACATCCCATGAAATCTGGTTTAGATCCCACGTTATATTTAGATCCCAGTACATCCCATTGAATCGAAATTATGGTTTCATGTTACCCCCATTAAACGGTTATCCTCCAGTAAACTAACATGGTTCTGAAGAAAACAACCCTTTATAGATGATTTTCTTGTTTAACATTGTCATTTTCCATAACCATGATTAGTTTACCCGAGGTATCCTCTGGTTATTTAACGTAGCAAACTGGAAAATCACCATGTTCGATGGATAAGTCATCATTTTTATCATCTATTTCTATGGGCCACGGCTTCCATAGCTAAACGACTGGCATCCGAGCTCACAGGACGGGGTTGATATCGTGAGTCTCATTGAAAGCGCTGAGAAAGCGCGTAGATTCTGACCATCCAAACCATCCAGGACAGTTGCTGTGGATATGGGATACCCTCCAGTCAACTTGGATGTGGGAAAAAATGGAAAATATGTATAGATCATATGGAGTGTGTAGACTATACTATATGTGTCTTGACCTCTTACACATGGGGATGAAGCGTTCAAAATGTTCTTTCCCTGAGACTCTGAAATCTGACATTGCATAAGTCGTCATGTTCACATTGCAGTAGCGTTTTTTTTCCAGAGAGCACTAGCCAGTTTTCATACACGTGTCGGATGAATTTTAGAGGTGAACCCAAAATTGATTATCTAGTGTGATAAACCCAGTGATAGACCATTCATTCGGGTATTGTTTTAAGTACAATGGTCAAATTGGGTGAATGGGGTATGATTTACATACACACTTCTAAGGGATGAGCGGGTCACCAACAAAAACATGAGTTTCACATCACTACGAGGTCCACCTTGGGTAGTTTTCTTCCTGGTTTGGCTCCGTGAACAGACCATTTTTTTGTTGCAATGTCACCACGAGTCACTGTACATTATTGTTAATCAGCATGGTGGATCACCTATAAAATATTTTTATAACTATGTCATTGTCATTCACAAAACTTTTTCTACAGTTATGGCCCTTAACAGTTATGCAACTAGTTGGTTATATATATATATGTAGACATAATACATATAATATATATATACACATAAATATCATGAAAATAAGCCATATTTAATTACATGATAGCGATTTCCTACAAGTTTCCCAGCATTTTCCCATTTGTTAAGGGCTATAACTGTAGTGGTTCGGATAACTACATTCGAAAGAATGTTGAGGCAAAGATCCTGGGTTGGATTCCCAACAAAGTCAAGCGAGGGCAGATCTGGCCCAGTTATATACCTATGGAGTTGTCTTGAGATGGGTTCCAGGATTGCAGTATTTACTGGATTTCTTGACTAGAAACGTGTTTTCAGGATGTGAAAAAAATATCTTGACCACATCATTTCCAGGTTTTCAGCGTTTGTGTTTTTTTTTGTGGTTTCTATAAGTGGGAAAATATTGATTTTGACATGATCTTGGGATTATAATTCTTGGGACAACCCTACATGCTTGGTGCGCTGTGTGCGATGCCGATGCCAGAAAAAAGCGCGATAGCCTGTCTGAAGGTGCATGCATGTTTTTTTCCCCCGAAAAGAGACGATGCTTGAAACTTCTGTTCTGGATGTTCATTGAAACAGGGCATACATTTTGTCTTGCAAATATTGAGAACGTGAAGTCTGATATAGTTTGATCCTATTCATTGTTCTCCCATAATGGCCCGCTGGGGCATTTGTCATGTTGAATTGTACCACGAACAACCAGCATGGAATTTAACAATAAGAACAACAACAACAAAAACAACAACAATAACCACAACAACAACAGGAGAAAAAACATGTCCCAACGTAGACATATTCAGCAATTTGTGGCGGCCATTTGGTGCTTCCAAATATGTGTGTTCTTGATTTTTATTTGATAGTTTTGTTTGATAGGCAGTGACCTTTTTGTTTCGGCATACTACAGACTTTTGATAGTTACTTCCAAATATTTTAGACAGAAATTGTGATAGCTATGTTATAATTATATATTGTGATAGCTATATTGTGATAGCTAAATTTATACTTATGTTACTTTACATAGCTCATATTATGGACTATAACTTATGGTTATAGTGACGAGGCGGTAGGAAACTTGGACTCATGAGATCCAAGGTGCGGCCGAAGCTGCTGGCAGTCTACAAGGAGCGACAGAAAGTGGGCAGCATCTGGTGGTCCCCCCCTCCCCCCCCGAGATGGTGATGGTCCCTATATCGACATATACATATATATCATATATATATATATATGGTCATATACATATATATATATATGTAAGTAATTGTAATTGCAATCGCAATTGAAATTGTAATTGTAATGTATGTATGTATGTCTGTGCGTACGTATGTATGTATGTAATGGATGTATGTATGTAATGCAATGTAATGATATGTTATGTTATGTTTTGTTTTGTTATGTAAAGTAAAGTATGTAATGTAAAGTATGTAACGTATGCGTGTGTATGTATGTATGTATGTATGTATGTATGTATGTAAATATGTATGTATGTATGTATGTATGTATGTATGTGTGTATGTATGTATGTATGTATGTATGTATGTATGTATGTATGTATGTATGTATGTATGTATGTATGTATGTATGTGTGCATGTGTGCATGTGTGCATGTATGTATGTATGTATGTTATGTATGTTATGTATTATGTATGTTATATGTTATGTATGTTATGTATGTTATGTATGTTATGTATGGTATGTATGGTATGTATGTATATGTATATGTATATGTATATGTATATGTATATGTATATGTATATGTGTATGTATGTATGTATGTATGTATGTGTGTATGTATGTATGTACGTAGGTATGTATTTATGTATGTATGTACGTAGGTATGTATGTATGTATGTATGTATGTATATGTATGTATATATGTATACGTATATGTATATGTATATGTATATGTGTATGTGTATGTGTATGTATGAATGTATGTATGTATGTATGTATGTAGGTATTTATGTATGTATGTATATGTATGTATGCATATGTATGTATGTATGTATGTACGTAATGTAATGTAATTAATGCATGTATGTATGTATTGATGTATGTATGTATGTGTGTTATGTGTGTTATGTATGTTATGTATGTGATGTATGTTATGTATGTTATGTATGTTATGTATGTTATGTATGTTATGTATGTTATGTATGTTATGTTCTGTTCTGTTCTGTTCTGTTCTGTTATGTTATGTTATGTTATGTATGTATGTATGCATGTATGTATGTATGTATGTATGTATGTATGTTATGTATGTTATGTATGTTATGTATGTTATGTGTGTTATTGATGTTTTGTGTGTTATGTATGTAATGTATGTATGTATGTATGTATGTATGTATGTAATGGATGTATGTATGTATGTGTGTTATGTGTGTTATGTATGTTATGTATGTTATGTATGTTATGTATGTTATGTATGTTATGTATGTATGTTATGTATGTTATGTATGTTATGTGTATGTATGTATGTGTATGTAATGTATGTAATGTATGTAATGTATGTAATGTATGTAATGTATGTAATGTATGTAATGTATGTGTATGTAATGTAAGGTATGTAATGTATGTAATGTATGTAATGTATGTAATGTATGTAATGTAATGTATGTAATGTATGTAATGTAAAATATGTAATGTAATGTAATGTGATGTAATGTAAGTAAGTAAGTATGTATGTATGTATGTATGCATGTATGTATGTATGTTATGTATGTATGTATGATTATGCATGTATGTATGCATGTATGTATGTATGTGTATGTATGTATGTATGTATATGTATGTATGTATGCATGTATGTATGTATGTAATGTATGTATGTATGTATGTTATGTATGTTATGTATGTATGTTGTATGTATGTATGTATGTATGTATGTATGTATGTATGTATGTATGTATGTATGTATGTATGTATGTATGTAATGGATGTATGTATGTATGTGTGTTATGTGTTATGTATGTTATGTATGTTATGTATGTTATGTATGTATGTTATGTATGTTATGTATGTATGTTATGTATGTAATGTATGTAATGTATGTATGTTATGTTATGTTATGTTCTGTTATGTTATGTATGTATGTATGTATGTTATGTATGTTATGTATGTTATGTATGTTATGCATGTTAAGTATGTTATGTATGTTATGTATGTTATGTGTGTTATTGATGTTTTGTGTGTTATGTATGTAATGTATGTAATGTATGTATGTATGTATGTAGGTAGGTAGGTAGGTAGGTAGGTAGGTATGTATGTGTGTGTACGTGTGTGTGTGTGTGTGAAAGTAGTGTGCATATATACATGTGCGTGTGTACACGTATGTAGTATATGTATATGTGCAAATGTATACAGTATGTATATGTACGTGTCTATGCATATGTCTATGTATCCCTCCCCCCTGTGGAGATGTACATGTAAAGTGCCCAGATAAGCAGTAGTGACCAGATAATACCTAGCATCACTACAACTGGAGTCAGCACCTTGGTAAGTCAATCGATCACATATATATATATAGTTGCTTGCCATTTTCCAACATAGACTCATCAGCTAATTCAATACCTGAGGTTCTCTAGGATAATCATGGATTAGCCACAGACAGATGGGTAAACTCGAAGAGACAAGTTGTCAGTTGTTCGGCGGAGCAGTGCGCGATGTCATGATGTGTTCAGATGGGTTTGTCTGAAAACAGGGTAAGTACTTCCAAATGCTATGGCTTATCAAACAAACCCAATTTATACATTTGAAATATAGGGTACTCCCAAATTACCTGTGAAAAATAGTTTTATCATCATGTTCCCCTTTCAATGGTAATTTTGGGGTATACCCCATTTTCAGACAGAGAGCTAAATGGTTTCATGTGCTGCTGCCCACTCCATCCGTGGATATCCAAACAACAAAAAGTTTCTTCCTTGTGGGACCTTCGGGGTACATCCCGGTAGCTCGCTATGAAATTGTAGGTATATATAGATAATTATACAGTATATATACCCCATGTTTTATAACATGATGCAACTGGGCTACAGTATTTGGATCAATGTTTCTGAACATCTGAAATACCCTTGGGATATACATATGTTTTCTTGAACATGAATAGGAACCGACCGTTTTTGTTGCCAATCGCCTTGGTAGTTCACATGAAGCCAGGAGATGAAGTGTCGCCGCGGGAGCTGACGTTGTTCGATCCATGTTTCATCAAGGGGCCTTGCTACAAGGGGGTCATTTGGTTCCCAGCCGGGAGCCCAGATATGGGCACACCGTGATAGATTTCAGTAGGGAATTGCCAGTACAGTATACAGGCCTAACTGATCATAGTGATTTACTGCTTGGGGTTTCAAATATTTATTTTTGTGCAAGAATACAAACGGGATGATTGGTTGAGATGAGTCTGTTGTCTTTGGGATGGCTTCACGCTGAAGTGAGCATGGCATTGCCGCTTGGCAAGAGAAGTGTACCTTATTAGGATATTAGGGTTCATTTGGGGTTGACACGTATAGGATTCACCATACAGCACTTGGGGTCTGGGGTCTAGGGTTTACCTATGATAAAAGTTCCCACCCCCCATGAAACAATTACCTGGACCTTGGAGGCAGAGGTTCATATTTCATTGGGTCAAAAGACTTAATGGATGTATAGGTTGAAGTCAAAAACACAGAACACCATTTGTGTTGTTCCATCATGTGTTTTCCCCCTTTTTTTAGAGCTTCCCTCATTAAAACCCCCATTCAAGCACTTAAATGAGACTGAGGAAAGAAACCATCCCAACATGAACATATTTACGATTTGAGAATTACCAGTAGTACCGCGCAAGGCGGAGGCGGAAGTTTCAAAAATAGGAACCCTATAGGAGAGGTTGGTTGTTGTGAATCACGGATGGCAGAGCGAATCCACTGATGGACCCAAAGGTGGTTGGAGTTGTGTTTTTTCGAATGGTTGCAACCCTTGCAGTCACCTGGTCGGTCACCCCACCCACAACTGCTGGATGTAGTGTGGTGTAGCGCAGCTGTAGTTGTAGTTGTAGTGTAGTGGAGTTGTAGTTGTGGTGTAGTGTAATTAGTGTAGTGTAGTGTAGTGGCAGTTGCATTTGTAATAAGTGTAGTGTAATTAATCGGCCCCGTGGGAAAATGATTGCAATTAGGTGGTGTAATGAGTGTAGTGTAATGTAATGTAGGGTAGTGTGATGTGGTGTACTCTAGTGTGGTGTAGCGTAAAGTAGCGTAGTTGTAGTTGTAGCTGCAGTTGTAGTTAGTGTAGTGCGGTCCGGTGTGGTGTGGTGTAGTGTGGTGTAGTGTAGCGCAGTGTAATGCAATCAGTGTAGTGTAGTGTTATGTAGTTGTAGTTGCAGTTGTAGCTGTAGTTAGTGTAGCGTAGTGTAATGTAGATTAGTGGAGTGTAATGTAATTAGTGTAGTGCAGTGTAACTAGTGTAGCGTAATGTAGTTGTAGTTGTAGTTATAGTTGTAGCTGTAATGTAGTTGTAGTGTAGCATGGGGTAATTGAATGTAGTGCAGTGAAGTGAAGTGGAGTGTAGTGTAGTGTACTTAGTGTAGTGTAGCGTAGCGTAATGTAGTTGTAGTTGTAGTTGCAGTTGTAGTTGTGGTTGTAGTTGTACTTGTAGTTGGTGTGTAGTTGTAGTTGTAGTTGTAGCTGTAGTGCAGTGTAGCGTAGTGTAGTGTAATGTAGTGTAGTGTAGTGGTTGTACTTGAAACTGCCACAACCCTCAGTTTTTTCCACTTTTGGGAAGGTGCAGAATCCCTTGTGCATGCCACGTACAACGATATCCGAACGTCCAAAAGTGCTCCAAACCCTTCAGTTTTTTCCACTTTTGACTTCGACATGTGCTTTGCGCCACAACGGCGTACACTTTTTCGACATCTCAACTTCCAAAAGTGGTCCGGAGCTGGTGTGTTTTCTGCATTTTGACTTGGACATGTGCTTCGCGCCACAACGGTGTGCACTTTTTCGACATCTCAACTTCCAAAAGTGGTCCGATACTGAGGTGTTTTGTACATTTTCACCTGGACATGTGCTGCGCGCCACAACAGCGTGCACTTTTTCGACATCTCAAATCTCAACTTCCAAAAGCGGTCCGAACCTGATGTTTTTTGTACATTTTGACTTGGACATGTGCTTCGCGCCTCGACGGCGCGCACTTTTTCGACATCTCAACTTCCAAAAGTGGTCCGATACTGAGGTGTTTTGTACATTTTGACTTGGACATGTGCTTCGCGCCACAACGGCGTGCACTTTTTCGACATCTCAACTTCCAAAAGCGTTCCGATACTGAGTTGTTTTGTACATGTTGACTTCGAAATATGCTTCGCGCCACAACGGCGTGCACTTTTTCGACATCACAACTTCAAATGTGGTCCGACACTGAGGTTTTTTTTTATGTTTTTCACTTGCAAATGTGCTTCGTGCCACAACAGCGTGCACTTTTTCAACATATCAACCTCCAAAAGTGGTCCGAACATGGTGTGTTTTGTACATTTTGACTTGGAAGTGTGCTTCGCGCCATAACTGCGTGCACTTTTTTGACATCTCAATTTCCAAAAAAGGTCCGAACCTGAGGTATTTTGTACATTTTGACGTGGAAATGTGCTTGGAGCCACGTCGGCGCGCATCTTTTCATCTCTCATCCGGCCAGATGGCTCCGCGCCCGCCATTTTAGCGAGCCTACTTTTCGACCCTCCGGAGCCACAAATCATTGGAAAAAAACACAGTGAATTGCGACTTTTCTACCTTTTCGCGCCTGCATCTTCTTTTTTCTGACTCTTTCTCTTCTCTGAACTTCTCTCTTCTTCTCTTCTCTTATTCTCTTCTCTGACTCTTACCACCTCTGCTTGTCCATCTGTCCATATTGTCGGAAGTTTGATTTCTAAACCTTCTTCCATGATGATTTGTCCAGAAAATAGATCATGGATTTTACGTGGCGGGTGGACACAAACTCAATTTGGAGGGGTTTAGTTTCATGGTCATCCGTATCCATGCGACAACCAGCAGATCCCAGCAACTGGGCATCATGTGCCTGGAAGTTCCAAGAAAACTTGCAACGTTGGTTGAAGGGAAAATCAACAGGATACTACTCCAAATCAGCTTGGTCTCAAACATGTACAAAAACATGTGAAAACCATGAAAATCCAATGTTTATTCTGGTAAAACTGTTCCCTCAAACATCCCTACACCCATTGAATCCTCGATAGTTTTCCATATCTTGAAAAGCCTCCAATGCACCGAGGGTGCCGAGTTTCGTGGCCCTGGCTGGTACTGCAAGGATCGCTTGGACGTCAAGAAGACAGATCTCATCGTGCCGTGGAAAAAACGTGGGATCTGGGAATGACAGAGACAATTAGGATGGCAACCAACATCTCAATACAACATGATTTTTTTAAAGGTTAAATACGGTTAAGCACAAGTGATGACACGATTCAACCGAATTTGACAATAACATTCCATAAATATGATGGTTTCATAAAATGGTGGAACTCAAAATAATGCAAATTATTGGTACGTCTTCACCTTTTTTTACGGTACTGGGGAAACAAAAATTTTTCGGTACCAGCCAAGTTTGATCACCCAAATGACCTCACAACACACGCCATCACAATCAATGATGTTTCGAGGGGAACCACCAATGTTTTTTTCCATTTGTTGGCTGATGAATGGAGGGGTTAAATGTAACAACAAATAGGTAAACGATGTAAACGATGATAGATGGAACCACCCTACAGCGACCAAACATTTCAGGTTCATAAAGTATTGTAATGGGAACAGTGACCAACAGACATGCAGTTATAGAATGTTATTTCCTACTAGCAGTTATAACTGGCCTACAATGATGTTGCTACTGAGAGATCAAACCCTGTGTGCGGCCTATAATGACACACGACCTTAGTTGCAGGAGGTATTTCATCCCATTTATGGCCCTGTTCAGCGCCATAACCTGGTGGGTGAACTTGGATGAATAATGGCAAAAGTGGAGATTACCAATCTATTGGATATAGTTATGACAAAATGTTGGTTAATCATGATTAACAATGGTTAATCACGAATAACGATGGTTTCTCATGGTTAATCATGATTTAAACTAGTTCATCATGATTAATGATGGTTCATCATGATTAATGGATGGTTTATGATGGTGGATATGGATGAATATTCTGAGCATGTGGATGCAATTTGGTATTATTAATATATCCTTTTGGGATTTAACATAACTATGGAACATCAACATGTGCAATCGGTAAATGATCTAGAAATGGGCCATGGAACATCATGGAACCATAGCGGGAACTGTTGAAGATTGAGATTTAGAACAGGCCGGGGGAATGACCAGGGGAATGACCAACATGGCCAAAGTTCAGTTTCTGCATTCGTTACATGTCAGGGTGTATATCATGGTACATAGACTTATGATTTTTTAATCATGCCAATCTGGTTGGTGGTTTGGAACATTTGTTATTTTTCCATATATTGGGAATAATCATCCCGTTGAGACCACCAACCAGCAATTGTACGTTAGCTCTACTACCTACCCTTGCTCCGTCTCCATATCATCCCACAGTGGTCGCTTGGCCGAAGAAGTCATAGTCGCCTCTATCATGTCAAGCAAAAGCCCTTGTCAGACAGCAAGCTCAAGCTTCGTGAACGCAAATCCCATTTCCAGCGACCTTTTAATACCAACAAACATAGATCGGGGCAAAAAGAGGGTTGGCAAACTATTTTTTTTTGAACATTTGAGCTATGTTCAGGGTCTATGTTAGTCGGATGCCAATGAGATATTGATCCGGTGCATCCGGCACCCCATGAACCAGCCACGCTAGCTCCATGTTCCTACCCCTTAACCGGGCCGTTTCTTGGTTTCTTTGGTCGCTGGAATTCCCAGCTGGACCTGAGGATGAGTGTCACATTGTGGCGCCGTGCTTTTATGGAACGATCTGGACGGGAAAGAGATGGGAGTCCCCTTGGCTCAGGATGGGCTCGCCCATTCGGAAGAAAACTTGGGGCACCAGGCTGGTTCGTGAACTTGGTTTATAAGTAGCACAACTATACAATGTGAGGCAAGTTGGTGCAAATAACTCCAATAACTATGGTTTATGGTACTTATAACTATAGTTACTGGGGCTTATAAACCAACTTATAACTGGGGGGCCTCACGTTGTAGGGTTGATGGTAGATACATCGAACCAGTTCAGTTGGTTTATTTCAAAACATGTTACAACCAACTTATAACTCAGGGGGCATCACCGTAGCTCCAAGGTAAATCATAACGACCTCGCTGGAATCATGGGAATGGGAGGGAATCCTCTCAATGGGCCTTACTTTTCAGGTGAATTTATCTAATTTACCCAGATATAATATGATATAAGATATGTAAGTAATAAATAGTAATAGTGTATATATTAATATTAATTAATTATGTTTGCATTACTGATGTGTTTGATGGTCATATCTTGGGAGTCAATCTCCGGTTTCTCCCCGCAGAAACTTGGAACACCAAGGTGTGCGGCAGAGGACAAGAAAAAGGTGGTGAAGAAATATGAGGAGCACATCCGCAATCTGGGTATGGGTCAATACCTATAGATACATTTTAGTGGGATGAACATCCATTTACCAGCTATTTTGGGGTTCACTAGGTACCAGGGTTTTGACCCATCCCCATCTGAGCCAGCCTGGAGTGTCTTGTGACCAAAAAGTGCAGCCGAATAGTGGATGAGACAAACGACAACTAGCAGATGTGGATGTGAGCGGGATTTACATTGGGTAAGGCAAATTATGAGGTAATATTAGGTAATTGCCAATCTTTTGATATATGATGTGAGCGTAAATCACCCATTCTCCAAGGCCCAAAAAGGAGCTTGGAATGTAAACAAAGCGCTATCAGAAAACATACCCAAGAACTAAGTGGTTTGCAATAGGCCAGCTTTGAGTGAGGCGGCGGCTCATTGTGACATATTGGGAGACTTTCTGGGCAGAATGTTAAACATGGGTGACAAAAAGAAACATGTCCCAATATGAATGTACCAATGAAACAACATCAAACAACTATGAACCAATACGTCCCAGTGAACGTTTCACCTGAAACATCAGTCACTTCTTTAGTCGTGAAACATTCTGCTGTTGCGCTGCGCGAAGCAGGATTTGATGCAGAAACTGTTGAAGGGCCCGCATCGTGGAGACAAACTCTGGGCAATCAAGGTGTTTTGGGCCGTCGATGTTAACTTGTGGCCAAGCGTTTTAATGTGGTGCCTCACAAAGTAGAAACCTAAGTTAGGTCATGATATAACTACAGGGATCTACAATTAGGGTTTATGGATGTTTATGGTATTATAATCTATATATATATTGTGTAAAATGTATCTGTTGAGCTAGTTAAGTGAGTTTACAAACCAACTTTTGTTCATCGAGGGGCCTTTGCGATCACCACCACCACGTAGATCACTTCGAATCCCCTGATTTGAAGAAGTGCATGGTTTGTTGATGTTTCCAGGATCAAAAGCTGGAAATCCAACAGCGACTTTGGGGTAATAACATGTAATAACCATCCAAAGCCATCCACTGGTAACCATTGAACTGGTAACCATTGAACTGGTTAACCCAGTCATTACCCCAGTCATTATCCAGATGGAAGTCCAGAACCAGAAACACTGTTCGTTGCAGGAGCTGGACAGTGAGTTGCCAAAGTTGCCGACCAGCTGTCCTGAACGCGGCTACAAGGCCTAACATTTTTCTGGGGTCGCTTCACCTTAAAGTAAAATACGTGCAGGGGAAAAAACACCAAATGCTTCCTCTGAGACATCTGCACGTTTCACGGATTTTCAAGGATTTTCGAGGAATAATGGTCCCTATTTTCCCTATTTCGATGGCCATGTTGGACCTGAATTCAGAATGGACACCTCTTAGTTGGCTATTGGGCTGCGAGTTTCCTAGGATGGTTACATTTCCGTGTTTTTTTTTTCTGAGTTATATTCCAAGGTATGGCGGTTATGCCCATGAGTTATAGATAGTTATGGTACAACCATGAACAAGCCCAACTGCACCCACAAGTATTTTCCATAGCTCACATAATGTTCTTTCCATGTAAATGATTTGCAACCCAGCTGCCTTTCTGGTTGTAACCTGCAGGCACCCAAGAAGTGCCGCATGATTGGCATGGACCGGTGACCGATGGCGTTTCGGGGGTGTCTCAAAGATGGGTGAGTACTGCTTGGGGGATGCATCCTAGTAATTAAGTGGTTGATATATAAATGGTTATAACCCGTATTGGGGCTTATCATATACAGTTATAGCCCTTAACAGCTATAATTGTCTTATATCATGATATATAACAAACTAGTTGCAGGAGTTATATACCATACAATTTATATAACTGTCAAGTTGATGTCAAGGGCATTCAAGAGCCATTAGCTGTACATATATATATATATTATTTATATTATATATATATATATTATATATTATATATTAAATATATTATATATATATATTATATATATTATATATTATATATATTATATATATTTTATATAATATATTATATATATAATATAATATATATATATATATATTATTGGCAATATTATATATATATATATATATACATAGCTGCGTGAATTGATCTGGTGATTAGCCAGTTAGGAACTGGCACATCTGTTGCTGGCATGGGACAGTCCCATTTTGTTCCTGTCCTGGCAAGTTCGTGAGTTCTATAGGGGATGAAACTTAGTGACTTCAGGGAAAAATTGAACAGACGACTTTGAAATTTGTTGAAATAATAGTTTAGAATACTATCGTTTAATATAGTCTTTATAGATCCTCATTTGGGTAACTCTGGTGGTTAGCTACTGTGCAGCTTCACAAGCATCTGCCCATGGTTTGAGAGATTGGTTTTGTTGCTTTTGTTGGACCAGGCGAGTTCGTAGCAGAAGAAGCCATGGTTCATTTTTTAGTGAATATAACATAGGTGATTCACCCATTAAAAAGTAGCAATGGTGCGTTGTTTATTTATATAACATGGCGAGTATAACATTGTGAGTTTTTTTCAGCTATGTCAGCTATGTTATTTTTTCCAGAGGTATCTCAATGAGCCACCAGCCAGCAGCGGTTGTGAAAAATCGCAGGACCACGGCAATTTGATGCTGATGGCCAAATGGAGCTCTGTTCTCTTTGACTTGGTGGTCTGTGAGGATGGGCATGATGGGCCCCGGCCACCCATGAACCCATGACGGTTGAGACGGGGCGACCCAACAATGAAAAGGGTAAGTCATTGTGGATGGGTTATTGGGTTTACATGGGTTTACCACATTTGTGTGTTTTTTCTCATAGTTTTAAGTGGTTCTTCTGGAAAGAACTCGCAATAAAGTGAAGTTGTCTGGTGTTGATGATCGCTCTGTTGCTGCTGAAACTTCAAGCTGCGAAATCCAAGGACTAAAGCAGTGTCTTCCTAGCAGATTTTGCATTCTGGGTCAACTTTGGATAGGCACTTTATTAGCTTTATTACTTTAGTCTCTTGCCATAAATCAAGATACATACTACCCAGCTAGACAAAAGGCATCGTATCCAAGATTGGCCATGAACAGTGGCCACCTCTTTTTGCATCAGATTCCTATTTGCAAGGTGGTTCCATATGCAGTCCTGAGTTGGTTTATAAACCCGATTAACTATAGCTATATCATTCTATACCTACTAGTGCCAGAAACCCTAACCTACCGGGTACTTATAAACTAACTTGGCCCTTGGCTAGGTATGGGTACCACCAAACGTACCATTTTAGTGTTCAAAATTCCTTACGGTTGATGACTTGGTGATAATCCCATGGATAGGAAGAACTGCCACACTCTTCATTGATGATTTTCCCGGCCATAAACCCCCATTTCTGGTTCGTGGTCTGGAACATTTTTTGTTTTTCCATATATTGGGAATAGTAACCCCAACTGACTTTCACATTTTTCAGAGGGGTAGGTATACCACCAACCAGATTTCCTTTACGGATTGTCCATTTGGGTGGAATTTCTGTTTGTTGTAGTTGCATGTAGTTGCCAGTTGCAGCCCCCGACAGGATCCAGAGATGCGTGGCAGAGCCGCTGGCGTACTCTACAACATCGTCTCCCGACGTCTGACTATCCCAAGCCGTGTTTCTTGCGAAGAGTTGGTGTATACGTGGCACTAGCTAGATATTATCTATTATGTATATATATATGTACGGCCTTATATAGAGAGATAATGTATGTATATATTTATATATATATACATATATATATATATATATTGTGGTATGTATATATATATATTTATTTATATTTACATTAATGATGATTTCATCATGGTTCTGATGATAAACGATGACATCTAACATCTCATTTTGTAGCCATCCTGGAATAGATAGAATACGGCAATTTCAAAGAATCGTCGCCAAAATGGAAACATGTTTTGGAATTGCCATGTTCTATCTACTGCAGGACGATTATATATATATATTAATATGCATATACACAAGTTTATCATGGTTATCCTATTTATATATAAATATCTGCAGTGATTTAATGATGATGATTAGTAGCTGGATAAGAACTACATAATGAGTTCACCCATTTCTTTGGGATCAGCCAATTGAATATCGGGCACCAAGCCCATCACCATCCTCCATTTCCCTGAAAGGTGAGGTTGTTGCTTTGGAAATTCATTGACTACAGCTACATCCCCCATCAACCCCGGTTCACCAAGAAATTGTGCGTTCAAAAAAAATGGATCTGGTTATCCCGGAAACCTCGCCTTGGAAAAAAACTGAGCCGGCCGAATCGAATTTCCCAAGCGCCCCATGTCCCAGCCATTCAAAGCTTCACTTTTTGTTGGAGGTGAACAATTCTGAGGCACAAGGATTGTGGAAAGGATATCAAGGTGTCCAAGACGCAGACGTTAGTCGAAATAATTTGTGTACAACAAGTCCAAACTTGGCATAAGATTGGGCTGGGTTCCTTAGAACCGCAGAAGCCCAAGCTTCAATGACCATTGCACACATGTGCTGGGGTGTCTGTGTTGGTCATGTTGGGTAGCTTTCAATGGAACTCTGGCTGAAAAATGAACATTTTTGGCAAACCCCCAAACCGATTTAGAAAAAGGCTTAGTTTACATCTGTGCATATATGATCATATACCCTCTGGTAATTTAACATAGCTATTGAAAATTGCCATTTATAGTGAATTGTCCCTTAAAAAATGGTGATTTTCCATAGCTACGTTAGTTTACCAGATGGTATTCAACATGTTTGAACATCTGTTAATGTTTAAACCTTAAGTTCTGCGATTTCAAATGGCCATAACCATAACTGAGTTATGTAAAAAGGTGTGTTCTTTTGCATAACCATAACTGAGTTATGTAAAAAGGTGTGTTCTTTTGCTATAAATGGTATGTTATAAATGGCCATGTGTTCTTGTAAGAACCCAATGGATGGGCTAAGGTGAATGATCACAAGGTGGGATCTTCGGGAAGCTCCGATGTGGATGATGTGGAACATGGATCATTTACCCTCTGGTTATGTCAAAAACCATGGGATCCATAGGAAAACCATAGGAAAACCATAGGAAATCCATAGGAAAATGGAGGTTTACCCTCTGGTTATGTCAAAAACCATGGGATCCATAGGAAAACCATAGGAAAACCATAGGAAATCCATAGGAAATCCATAGGAAAATGGAGGTTTACCCTCTGGTTATGTCAAAAACCATGGGATCCATAGGAAAACCATAGGAAAACCATAGGAAATCCATAGGAAAATGGAGGTTTACCCTCTGGTTATGTCAAAAACCATGGGATCCATAGGAAAACCATAGGAAATCCATAGGAAAATGGAGGTTTACCCTCTGGTTATGTCAAAAACCATGGGATCCATAGGAAAACCATAGGAAAACCATAGGAAATCCATAGGAAAATGGAGGTTTACCCTCTGGTTATGTCAAAAACCATGGGATCCATAGGAAAACCATAGGAAATCCATAGGAAAATGGAGGTTTACCCTCTGGTTATGTTCAAAAACCCATGGGAGTCCAATAGGAAAACCATAGGAAATTTCCATAGGAAAATGGAAGGTTTACCCCTGGTTTATGTCAAAAAAAACCAGGGATGTCCATAGGAAAAAAACATAGGGAAATCATAGGAAAAAATGGGGTTTACCTCTGGTATGTCAAAAACCATGCGGATCCATCAAGGAACAAAAAGGAAAAGGAAAAGGAAAACCCATAGGAAATCCATAGGAAATGGTGGTTTACCCTCTGGTTATGTCAAAACCAGGGTCATAGGAAAAACCCATAGGAAAAAACATAGGAAAGGAAAGGAAAAGGAAGAAATAGGAAAGGAAGGGGAAAGGAAAGGAAATCCTAGGGGAAAATGGAGGGTTACCCTCTGGTTATGTCAAAAAACCCATGGGATCCATAGGAAAACCATAGGAACATCCATAGGAAAAAGTGGAGGTTTACCCTCTGGTGTGATGCTCAAAAAACCCTGGATCCATAGGGAAAAACCATAGGAAATCCATAGGAAAAAGGGAGGGTTTACCTTGGTGATGTCAAAAAAACCAGGGTGATCCATTAGGAACAAAGGAAAAACCAGTAGGGAAACCATAGGAAAAATCCATAGGAAAATGGAGGTTTACCCTCTGGTTATGTCAAAAACCATGGGATCCATAGGAAAACCATAGGAAATCCATAGGAAAATGGAGGTTTACCCTCTGGTTATGTCAAAAACCATGGGATCCATAGGAAAACCATAGGAAAACCATAGGAAAATGGAGGTTTACCCTCTGGTTATGTCAAAAACCATGGGATCCATAGGAAAACCATAGGAAAACCATAGGAAATCCATAGGAAAATGGAGGTTTACCCTCTGGTTATGTCAAAAACCATGGGATCCATAGGAAAACCATAGGAAATCCATAGGAAAATGGAGGTTTACCCTCTGGTTATGTCAAAAACCATGGGATCCATAGGAAAACCATAGGAAAACCATAGGAAATCCATAGGAAAATGGAGGTTTACCCTCTGCTTATGTCAAAAACCATGGGATCCATAGGAAAACCATAGGAAAACCATAGGAAATCCATAGGAAAATGGAGTACCCTCTGGTTATGTCAAAAACCATGGGATCCATAGGAAAACCATAGGAAAACCATAGGAAATCCATAGGAAAATGGAGGTTTACCCTCTGGTTATGTCAAAAACCATGGGATCCATAGGAAAACCATAGGAAATCCATAGGAAAATGGAGGTTTACCCTTCTGGCTGGTTATGTTCAAACACCATGGGATCCATAAGGAAAAACAAAAAGGAAAACCATAGGAAACCCTAGAAAATCCATAGGAAAATGGAGTTCCGTTTACCCTCTGCTTAGTCAAAAACCATGGGATCATAGGAAGGGACAGAATAGGAAAGGAAAAACCCACACCATAGGAAAACCATAGGAACTAGGAAATTCCATAGGAAAATGGAGTAGTAAGTTAGTAAGTAGAGTACCCTTGGTTATGTCAAACCATGGGATCCATAGGAAAACCATAGGAAAACCATAGGAAATCCATAGGAAAATGGAGGTTTACCCTCTGGTTATGTCAAAAACCATGGGATCCATAGGAAAACCATAGGAAATCCATAGGAAAATGGAGGTTTACCCTCTGGTTATGTCAAAATAGCTATTGAACATGGCCCATAGAAAGTTTGTTGATTTGCCTATTAAAGATGGTGGATCTTTCCATGGCTATGTGGCTGTTTACCAGAGGCTACACGATGTCGATGTTCCATACTTCCTACTCGTGGCCCATGTTCACCCAGAGCGGAAACCCTAAAGCTTGGATGGATCATGTCAGGAATGTGAAGAAATAGCTCAACAACATCGCTGTTTGTGGTAACACCATGGTTGCCCGTGATTTTTCATCAATTTTCCCTGAAACCAGTTGCCACCGACCCCTACGTGGCACCCAGTTCCAGTCGTAAGTGTACATATATATATATATATCTATACATACTTCGCAAGAAATATAGGTGGCCCATGTCCCAACTATTCCCAACTTCAGAAGGTAAACTCACCATTTTTCCACCACAACTGCATCCCCAAACTTGACTAAGGTCATCTAAGATACCATTATTATATCCCCATGATATTTTCATGATCTTCCCTTATGTCTATGTATATATACCTATGTAATGATTATATATATATATATACATGAGATCCGTGGCCAGGAGAACCAGAAGCGCTTACTGGAAAAGATGGGCGGCGTGGATCTCCTAGTCGCGCATCTCAATCCTGTCACTGGGCGGCAGAGAATGTGGCGCCGCGAGAATGTGAAACTTCGGTGAAAAGAATGTGTAGCCTTCTACAAAAAACATACTGTGGATGGTTGCGAAATCCTGCACCACTTAATAAACAGTAAACATCCTATTATTTATAGGGTTTCAACCATCCTTTTGGTGGTGCAGGATTTCGCAACCATCCACAGTATTATACATGGGATGAATGGAGGATGAATGAGGAACTTAACCAACAAGAATGCGATAGTCTTACGGGAATATTATGGTTTCTAAGACTGAACGACATCAAAAGGGTCGCTTTGAAGAACCCCATTGACGAGCATATGTTGCAGATCGGTTGAAACCACCAGGCAGATACGTATTACATATTTGTATTAAACACAGAATATATATATACTACATAATTATCGGCAGGTATATTTTATATATAGAAGTACAGGTATGATATTGATCTGAATGCGTGTGTGTGTGATTTAAGTGGCAAGCATCCCTTTGAATACAAAGCAAAGCCACGGCGCATATGTTTCTCAAACACTCTTCCGACAAGCCGAAACCATTTTGTGCAGGAGAGGAATACCAGCAAGAAGATCAGTGGCAAGGCAGTGCGGATGAGATGGGTATGAGTAGGGTCCCCAACCCACAAAATTTGCTCATTTGACTCGGAAAATTTGGAGTAAGTAAGTGTCCTACTATCTAATTGTAAGTTTGATGATATACTATCCAATAACTACAATTTGGCTACAAAACTTCCAGAGTCATTACGGAAGTTGGAGTAAGTTGGCGCCAACTTCAGCAGCAATGGATGAGAGTCCCAACCCACTACCGCCATGTTCACCCATTAAACTTCTGCACGCATTGTCCTGCAACATAGTTACACTCTCAGTCTTTATAGTAGTATATAGTATTTGTTTTAATAACGCGTATATTTGTACATATATATATATATATACATGCATATTCTTGATAATTGTTGCATACGGTTTCATTGCCAGCAAAAAACATCTTCGTGCTCCAAAAATGCATCGTTTTGAGTAAACCCACCGTGAAGCCACAGTTCTCCGGTTGCAAGGCGCTCTTTGGCATGAATATGCTTGCCAGCGAGTGCAAGGTGGGTGGATCACCTTATATTCCCAGTTCTCAGACGGTCCACAATGTCTAAGTTAAACCACTTACCACCAGCGAACCACTTATAGCATCTTATAACAAATTGGCCGGAGAAGATACATGTTCTACAGTCTTTCAATAGACATATCCCAGATTTCGGTGCAGTTATGGCTCTTAACTCTTTAAATTAGTAGAACTCCTGCGACTAGTTGGTTATACATTATGAAACCAGCCAGTTATAATCCGACAAGCCTGTTTTTTAAATCGTGATTTCCCATAATTTTCTCATCATGTTCTCATCATGTTCCCCATGCCCCCATCATGTTCGCATCTGCTAAAGGCTAAAAGAAGTCTGGGATCATCCACATGGGAAACAAGCCAGTTAGCGTCCTCTTACGCCAGTTATGTGCCTGGCTTATTTCATATCTTCACATATATTCACCAGTTACAGGAGCACTGTGAGCTTCTCAATTTCCCATGAAAAAATTGGGCCAGAACTGCCAGAACTCTCTGAACCGGCGCCGGTCGCAGGCGCAATCGCCGGACTTGTGCGATTTCTTCCCCGCTTTGACGCAGATGAGCTCATCAGGAGAGCGCCCGATTTTCCGGGAACCCAAGAGTAACAGGGCCTTATAAATGGGCCTTCAATGGGCCGAAATAACTCCTGTTGTGTTGTTTGTATATCTTCAAAGAAGCCAGCTGCAGCAGCTAAGGGCTATAACTGAGGAAATGTAGTTGCAACCAGCCAAAAGTGGGACTTAACATGACTTAGCCATCAAGAAATTTGGAGTTACCATCCACCAAATTAACATAGACCCTGCCAGATAGGGGTTGGAAGATTAGTTTCCATTAAAAATCGGCGATTCTCCGGGTCTATGTTAATTTACCAGAGGGTAATATGAATTAGATTATGTATACCAAATTTCGGCCAAGGATTTGATCATACCCCAAATGGAATTTTTAGACCCCTCTCTGTGGGAACATGATGGGGATACAATGGGAATATAACACGGTATACTGGGACACAAGCAAGAAACGTACATCCGGCAAGCCTGAATTAACTACTGATATTTAAAAAAAACATGAACAGCGGAAATGTGTTTGTCCAGAAATGTGGTATACCAAGAAGTGGCAGTTCTAATGGGAAAAAATGATTGAAAATTGGCAAAAAGCCCTGGGATTTGTGGGTACTATTATACCTTAAGACAATCTGAAGATGGTGTTGCAACTCTCCACATCATCATAATTGGGTATACCATGTTTTTTCGGCACGAAAAACGAAGGAAGATTATATGAAGGATCTTCATGATGTGCATTTGGCAAACAAACTGATTCACATTGGTTTTCATGAAACTGGACCAGAGCTCAGAGCTGGGGTGAATTTCTCCATCGAGAAACAGAACATCGATGGTTGGCAACAGAAACCCCAAAAGATGCAATCAAATACGAACATGTTCAGATCGGTAAATAGCTATTATGATGACAATAAAACAAAGCCCTAAATTGAATATGATCGATTAGATGGGCCATGGCTTCCATAGCTATGGGTCGCAAATTTCCAGGGGGTTGATCGAAATCTTCCCTTAGCGTAGATGATTTACAATAGCTTTACAGGTTGTACCAATCTATGATGTACCTAAGAAAGATTTCATTGAAGCCATACAGAGTCAGTTCATTGGGATTCAATCATAGGTCTAAATGTGAATACATAGATGTGATTGTTCATTAGATCAGTTAAATCCCAGCTCTACCAGGATTGCATGTTTTGTCCCAAGTGTTTTGAGCCATGTGTTAAAACCATCTATCTGATATCTTTTGACAATCTCATATGTGATACATATATAGTGGTTATGTATTCCATCAAAAGGAGGTCTCCTAAAATGGGGGATACCCCCAAATCATCCAAAATTGCTTATCACTCTTTAATCAACGGGAAAAGCAATTGACTTATATAATCAATGCGAAAAGCTATGGCTTGGGGGTACCCATAGTTTAGGAAACCTCCAAAAATCTCATGATGTCACCAAAAAATCGACCAGGACTTGCCACTTTGGTGTGGAATCCGCCGAAGGGAACGGGATGGCAGTTGCAGGCAGCGCCCCAGCGCTGGCGTTGGGATCCTCGCTGTTTATTGCGGTAATGAGAACGGAATGGAACGTAAAGGAGTGTACAACCAACAAATCATTTTTTTGCCATGTTTTGCTGTCTTTCAACGGTTGTTGTTTTTTGTTTTTAATACATATGGTGATCTGACCATCAAAAATATGGTTGTAACCATCACACATATGGTAGCACAATCCACAGATGTTAGGGTGTAAGGACTTCAATACCTCCAGGACCCTTTCGTAATCAAAAGTGGATCACCCGTTGGGGGAATCATCCGAAATCATGGCCGAACATTGCATTTTCAAGTTGGTTGTATATATATATATATATATGTATACACATAAAATATAAGATATTAATATATTCCCATTTGTAGATGATTTTCCCATGTCCCCCATATTATCATCATTCAACAAGTGAAAGATCCTTCAAGAGTACGAATCATGCACAGATCCTGAATTGATTTAAAGCCTGTCTTAAGCGAAAAATATGGACTTCATAGACAGATCAGTAGATGGCTTTGGGGTCTGTAATTTACTACATACATCCTTCATAAATTAAATAAAAACCCTTAAGCATATAGTTGGCCATACTAATGATAATAGGTAGTATACTCGATTAACCTTTTGTGGCAGTCAAGTATCTTTACTGTAGTTATTGTTGAGACGAACGGATATGTATATATATATATATATACATACCCACCAGCGATTTGCCATGTAGATTACTCGCCTCCAAGAATTGCATTATGTGACATTTTCCGGAAACATCTTTATTTGATGGCACGAACCATGCTCCCCTTCGGATTTTCCCTTACACCAATCCATCGCCTATTCCCAAGACAAATCTATCACCCGTGAAGGGAATCACTAGCATTTATGAACCACTAGCAGCCCCTACAGATATTATATAGCCCTTTTCAGTTGGCTTATTTGGTGATATTATATATATATATATATACATCACCACTGGTTGCAGGAGTTTATTTCATCCCATGTTTCAGGCCCATCTAACTATAAGGGCCACAACGCCACTTAGCAAGTGGTTAATGGGCCGTAACTCTAATGATCACAAGTCCCCATTCAGTGAGACTATGCCAGGGCCATAACTGCCTTACAAATATGGTAATGTGGGAAATGATCATAATAACCCGCCCATATGTTGAGGGTTGATACCACCTATTTTGGGTGAATTTGAGGATGGTTTATTGCTGTTTTACCAGCATTGATGTGGGTACGACACTAATAAACCATCCCTCAGCCATCACCATTTTGATAGGTTCTATGATTACCATTCCCAGTCATGGCTGGTAAACATGACATTGTTTTACCAACATTAATTGAACCCCTTGAAGTTGGTCACCGCTGACTCACCAGGTTGCTTTGCAAGAGGCCTGGGTGTCTAGCTTGGATGCTCAGTGGGTCAGCAGAGGACTTTTCCAGTCGCAGAAGTCGCCTAAAAGAGGAAAACCATGGCTGCAGTATATTTATCGGATGTTCTTATGGACGTTTATTTATATATATATAGGGTTTTATATTGAGTTTTATAGATTGCTTTATGTTGGATTTATAGGTGTTTGTTAATGGTTTTATAGGGATAATGATGAGAATGATTGGGATATAATGGGAATATACCCTCCGGTGTCATTAAATATTGCTAGAAAACAATAATTTCATTCGATGATTCTTCCAGCTACAAGCCTCCATTCAGGCAATGGGGATTTCCAATGTCCCAACTGCCATGTTTGATTAAGGGTAACTATAGTGTATATATATATATATATACGCGCTGACACCATCGTTTGCCCAAGAGTTCAATGGCCACAACATGTACATATATCTTAGGATAAGTATCAATACATGCTGATCCGCTTAACATGATCGTATATGTTTGGATATTGATCATACAATACGGATTAACTCATGGAACTTGTACCATGATTGGATACCTATCATACCATGTGGGGTCTCTGTTCTGTTTCGACAACCAAGTAATTAATCATTGTGATTCAGTGTTCATCCATATCTGAAGTTCATGGCAACATTGACACTTCGCCGTGTCGCAGTAACATACAGTCGCGGCCCAAAGGGAATGAAGGCTTGGCGGCTCTTGTTGGATTGGCTCACGCCAGCAGAGCGGGCCCGGCTCACCTGCGCAGCGGTGGGATTCTGCCGAGAAGTTTGGTGGGTCAGGACGGTAGCCCGGAATACTCACTTAAACACTAAGATGCTACAACACTTCACCTGCACGATTACAAGATTACCACCTTCCCCATGACCCTTGAAAGATACATATCATTACCATTTAGGTTGACAATGATGATCCTTCCCGTCTGGGCAAACGATGGCGTTTGACCGTGTATATACTATATGTGCCATGGTCACAACTGGGGTAATTCACCCATAGTGGGGATGGTCATCAATCCATTTTCTTAGAGATTTATATAATTATACCCGTTCTCTTTGGATTCCCATGACATGGGGTGACCATAAGCCATTCATCCCATGTTTCGACGATGGCACATACAGTGGGGTTAGTGCCCTTTACCACTAATAAGTCAGTAAGTCACCCCATCTATGGAATGATAACCCTTATGACCGTCAAAATAAGTGCTATTTCGGGCTCTCCTTGTGGCGTTTATAAAGTAACATATGTCACGGGGGACCTGCTGACTTCGCCAAGGTTGCACTGTGAAGCCAGGCATGCCTTCTGAACAGGACTTTCAGGCGGGTGGTTGAAGCAACAAACATACAGTTATGGCCTTTTGCCAGTTATAAGTACTTATAACCCCATCTATGGAATGTATAATCCCATTTGCAACCAGTTATAACTAATAAATGGCCATACTTGTAGGGGATTTCAACCAGGAAATTGAGGATTCAAAGTGAGAAGAAAACACGTTCTTGAGAAAAACGGAATTTAAGCCTTGACAGGGGGGACGTGCAAAACGAAATATATGGAATTTATGGAACCATGGGATATTGAGTTTGCAACGGCTGGGAGTTTAATCAATAAACATTTTGATTTGACCAGTAAAGAGTGGGATTGAACCAGCACGGATACTCAGCCAAGAAGTAAAGGTTTTCAGTTTTCACTGACAAATTGGATTGCAATCATCAGACATGTGGATTTATCATGATTCAGCCAGCAAAACTTGAAATCACCAGCAATCATGGAGAATGAACAATCTACCCATGAAACTGGATAAAAGTCCCAGAATAATTTGATATTATGGTATATTGCCACCATGTTTCTAGGTACTTAGGGTCTACGGATATAGCTATCATAATAACCACCGTAAACGTGCAGCAATAACCCTTAACATTTATAAATAATTGTCTTAAAGTATGATATGCGACTAACTAGTTACAGGAGCTATCATCCCACTTTTAATTGTTATCCGATAATTTCTCATCATGTCCAATATTTCCCGTCATTTACTAGTTACTAGTTAAGGGTCACAGCTGTAGGGAACCAATGCGGAGGATTCCTCCCAGCCACGAAGCGTCGCTCATGTTCCGGAAACGGAAAGGCCTGTGGCGGCAAATATGTGCAGAACTTGACCAATGCCACGGATGAACAGGCGCTCCTAGGGTTGATTTGAAGATGAGCACCTATAGACTCTCCGTTATCCATAAAAAATGGTGTTTCGCCGCAGAATTCTAGTGCATATCCAAGTAGGAAGACATGATGAACACATATGGTATTTAATAATCATGAAAACCTATATACCATATGATTATTATATACCATATGAACTTATTATATACCATATATACCATATGATGGCAAGAACTGATGAAAACCATTTGATTTCAGGGTTTCAACCGGGCGGGCTGGTTCACAGGATTCCACAGCCCAGCTACACGGGAGGTTGCAGCCACCAAAGAAGGTCAACAGATTCCTGGGGAAAATTGGACCGTCCCATCATATCCCAACATATCCCAACCTTGCTTCAGTATTGAACTCAGGTTTGGCCTTAGGTCTTAGATTTGAGGATGTTTCCCTACAGGTATGGCCCTCAAACCAGCTATAAATGGCATTTTAATTCCCGTAACTAGATGTAACTAGTAGGTTATATATCATTCTGAACCAGCTCTAGTCCCATTTCTAGTGATTTCCCAGCATTTCCTCATCATTTTCCAATTGTTTAAGGTCTATAGTACGCGACTCGTTTGAGCAGCCATGGTCAATCTTGGTTCCATACGTTCATCCCTATTGAACCAGATCAAAGCATGTAAGAATGGTTGGTCAAAATAAGGATTCATGTGGGTAAAACATCCACCAGTCATCACCATTTTTATATGTGTTATAAACCATTCCCAAATGGGTGGTTTAATTATGACATTGCTTTACCCACATTAATCATAATTCATCCCTTCCCCCATTCATATTAAACACCCCTTAGAAACCATGCTGGATGCAAGGAATTTACACGCAGTTGGACCATTTGGGGGGGTGTTTAATATTGGGGGATGGGATTACTTAACCACATGAACAATTAATAGTTGGGCTTCTTAAATTTACTACAATGTGAGGCCCCCAAGATAGCTAAGTTGGTTTATAACTCCAATAACTATGGTTTATGGTACTTATAACTATAGTTACTGGGGCTTATAAACCAACTTATAACTGGGGGGCCTCACATTGTAGTAATAAGAATGAATGGCCCATGATATCCCATGATATGGGGGTTTCCTACAAAGGGTGATTCCCCAAAAAAAACATGGGTTTCAATACTAACATGGTCTAATGACTCGATGGTTTGGGGGTAGTACGCCCCATTTGACAAAACCTGCATGTTTTTGTCACCAGTTTTGAAAATCATGCTGTCTCATGGTGTCTTTGCAAATACCAAAATGATGCTTTAGACAGTAAAAGGAATGTAATGTTGTCCCTGGAAATCCGTGAATTCTGTTTAGAACAAATTCAAATGTAAACAAATGGTGGGTTTCCATAAATGGGGAATCTTCAAAATGGATGGTTTATAATGGAAAATCCTTTAAAAATAGATGATTCAGGGGTGCCGGGTACCCCCATTTTAGGAAACCTCCAAATAACTCAAATGTGTTTGCTGTAAGAAAAATGACCAATATACACAGCGTGTTTTGCTGCTACAAGGTCGTGTCTTTCTTTGGCAAAGTTGGTTTATAAATGGCTTAACTGTGATAGGTGTATCACGAATTAGAAAGGCACGCGTCATTCAAAAAAAATCCATCAGTCTTAATCATCAGTTTTCCCATATTTCAACAAACATTACTATCATCAGTGTTCCCACAGATTCAAATGTATTATTCATCAGTTTTCCCACATTTTCTGGTATTAACATCAATTTCTCATATTTTCCCTAGTAAAATCATCAATTCACCAAGCAACACAGCTGGGGACCACGGCAGGTCTATGCGACGCTTCAGAGCCTTCAGTCCTTGCTGAAAGAGGAGACGCCACCAATAGTGGTTGAAAGTGATCTATGTATGTGATACATACTCAATAATACGTACAATAATTTATAATAGATGTGTATCATCACAATACTATATGTATAATGCTGTTTTTTTACGAAATGCAACGATTTTTTTATTATATAACAATGAGAAATATTGATACAAGTATAACTGTATAATATAATGCGATATTAGTGAACCATGTTGAGCCACATTATCACAACTAATTATAGTATCATTTTAAATGATATCTTAAAAGGACGATATATATATATATACACATATACAAACACACACATATATATAACATATATATATATATATTAATATTTACATATATATAGATATACATATACATACATATATATATTTATTTATTTATTTATATTTGCATATATACATACATAAATATACATATATATATATGTACAAATCTTTATTTACATATATATATATATACATACATACATATACTTACATATACATACATGCATATATTGATATACATACATAGATATAAATACATACATATTTACATACACTCATATATATATATATATGTATATATATATATTTAAATACATACATATATATATACAAATATTTACATATATATACATAGACATATATTTTTTATACATACATATATTTATATATACATATATGTTATATATATATTCATATTTACATACATATATTTATATACATACATATAAATACATACATACATATATACATATACATATACATATATATACATACATGTGTATATATATATATACATTTACACATATATATATATATATACATGTATGTATATATATACATACATGTATATCAATATATACATACATATGTATGTATACATATATATACATATATAATATACATACATCTATTTACATACATTTATATATATATATATATACGTATTTATGTTTATACATATATATATATATACATACATTTATATATATATATATGTACACATACATATTTAGATATACATACATATATATACATATATACATATACATATATTTACATTTATATATATATACATATATATATATACATATATATACATACATATATATACATATATATACATACATTTGTATATATATATGTATATATATGTATATATATACATATGTTTATACATACATATATATATATATACATATATTTACATACATATTCATATATATTTACATATATATATATATTTAGATATACATACATATACATACATATATATGTATATATATCTACATACATATATCTACATACATATTTATATTTACATAAAACCTACCCCAGGTAGTCAAACATGGCAATGGCGAAGAATCCATAGATGAATTTCCCACCAAAAACCTTCCATTTACTTTGCGGATTTTACAGCCAACCAGGGTAGTCAACCAATAGGGGTTTAGCAACCACTGCTCAATGATCTATGTGTTTTTCCAAACCATTACTGATCAGATAGGAGTTCTCAAGTATCTCTCTCAAAATGACCCTGCATTGCAGGTTGGTGACTTGGTGGCTGTAGTAGCACCTTTTTATTGGTTGGTGGATTATGATACCAGATGACCAGGTAGATGGAGTTTTAAGAATAAGTCAAGGGGGGGTTGACCAACAGGTTGAGAAGTGATGATATACATGATCATCAAGAAATTGGCACACCCAATAAATGTTGGCGCAATTCTCTTTTGACCGAACCATGCTTGGATTTTGGCCTGGAATAGTCAAAACGGATATAGGTTGTTCATGGGGACAAGCAGCCTGGTGAGTCCTCTGGTAGTCTTACGTACGGATTCTTCATTGCGATGTTTGACGGATGGTGTTGGATCACAACTGCACATTAATATACTCCAAAATTTCATGACGAATACTAAACCAGACCAAATGTGGCTGCCTAGCTCTGAGTTTCGACCCAAAGCCGACTTCAGAACCATCACAGACTTTGAGGATGGTGAAGCATCATGAAACATCCATATCTTGGAAACGAATTGGCCAAATAGTTGATCCCTTGATATAGCTAACTAATGACTAAACTGATCTATCCCAATCTTTGTTGATGACATACCCCCCAAAATCCCTATTCTATCTATCACTTCTGTTGGGCCATGAGTGACTCGTTTTGTTTTTTCCTGGCCCGTTTGTTCTTGTTTTGTTTCAGGACCTTTGGAAGCAGAAGTATCTCGGAAACTTCGCTCATCAGGCTGGGCGAGAGTGGCGATTTAGGCCCTGCACATGTCCATCATCTTATCCTTGAACAATAGATACAGCAACGATTTGGAATTATGGGCAGGGACTTACGGAGTACGGTGTCGCAGTTCACCCCACGAGTCACCACAAATCTGATAATTCATGATTCATCCAACTCAATTAGCATAGGTTCTAAGCCTCCTTTAATCTAATGCCAAATGGACCAACCCTACATGTCCAATTTCTAAGCAGGTTTACAATCTATTCCCTAAATAGGATGAATCACCAAGCAAAATAGATAGATTCTGAAAAACATGTTTTTTTTGCCCTAACAATATCTAGGATTTGGCCAAGTGGGTCTGTCCATCATCCAGCATTGGAGTTCCTTAGGTCAAACCGTTTGTGCACAAGCTACCTTCAGAATCCAAACTTGTGGCGAAGAAGCTACTGATCTGAGCCGGGTAGCAGGTCAGGCCCCAGGAAAATATGAAGGATAGGTCGGATAGGTTCTTCAAAGCCATAAACATGGCAAGGATCATATGAATCATATGTAGATTATACTGTATACATATGTGCACATGATTTGTATAGCTAATTTTGTGTTATATATAGAAGCAATTAGAAGCATACTTTTGCAAATTATACTGACATATAGTTAACTTTCGAAGGACCAGAACGATGAAGATGTTTGTTGAAGATGAAGCAACATCTGGAATGCCCTATGACCTGATTTGCTGCCTCATGTTGTTGATGTAGATTTGATGGATCTGCAGCCAAGAAGAGTAAAGAAACGGGCATGGAAGCCAACAAGACCATTTCATCCAGCATTCCATGTTTCTTGATGACAGCATGACTCGGAGGAAAGGCTTTGTGCACAATCTCCGTACATGAATGCACAAGATTTCGACATATGAATATCGCCTGCAAGTGACTAACATCATTTACAGTACCAACCAAGGGATCTTGGAGTCCTTCATCATTAAAAACAAACAAACGATACCCTCTGGTAAACTAACATAACTATGGAAACTCACAATGTTGAATGGAAAAATCCACTATAAATGGCCATTTTCAATAGTTTTTTGTATGTTTACCAGAGGGTACATGAAGAAACAGTACAGTTCCTTCGGAAAACAAGACGGCAGCACCAAGAAGCAGAGCCAAGATTCCTCGTATCTACAGTTGATGGCCCTTAACAGTTACAGTATCAATGGGATTACAGCTCCTGTAACGAAGCTTAATAAAATGTTATACATATCATTGTAAACCAATTATAATTGTTAAGGGCTATAACTGTACATTATATCTAACTTGGCTGGACTGAAATTGTCAGCCAAGATAGCAATCAAATTTGCTTGGGACGAACCCTCCAATCGCAACAGTTTCACAGAGCCAAAGATGCTCGTTTTCCATTGGAAAAGCGTTGCCTGGCACCGGGTTTTTTCCACAGAGCTTAGCCATTTAAAATGCTGAGACCCCGAGAAAAATTGGAGATAAAAAGCCCATGGAATCTGAATCCAATTTTTGATGGGTAAGGTATTGCCCATATATATATATATATGGTTGTGTAATCCAGTACATACATTTATATATAACCACAAAAAGGTGTTGCCCCAGTCCAATCCATTGATGCCCGTTGTGGTTCCAGTGAACTGGGGACCCCAATGTTGACCCGGCTGCACAGCACAGTGGTCAGTCTTGGTTTGCGGTGGACGGCGGTATGTTTCTGAAATTTGCTACTTAGGCAACTTTTAAATCAATTGAATTGATCAATGCTTGCCAGATGGGAATGTCAGATCGTCTTTTTTAAATTGTCAACGTCTTGGTCTTGTACCTTTTGTGTCAGATGGCTGCCACCCATGTTTTTGACTTGACTGACAGTCACAGTGCGTGCGATTTCGTTGCTGAGCTAGTTTACATACGTTTTCTGACATGATGACACGTTAGGAGACATGTCTGCCGGCAAGACCTCTCTAGTGTCCATTGATGCAGGGCAAAGACATCCAGCTTCTCCAAGCGCACCCGGAGAGTTACCCATGGAAAAGCCACTGTCTACAGATCATTTTCCGAACAGGAAGCCTTAGTGTAGATGTCCGACATCTATTCAATGACCGGGAGATACCGGGAGGGGAATTGAACTTAAGATGACGCTGAAACAACTCGCCAAAATACTGAGCACTGGATTGAACTGTTCAGGGCTGACCCTCGATTTTCCAGGGACATCCTGGGACCCCCTGCAGCTTGGCAGAACGGTGACGTCCGTCAGGCCTTCAGGTGATGGTTTTGGTTCTCGAAATAAGAGATGGATAGCCCAAAACTATGACTGCTTGGTGGTTTGGGACATGTGTTATTTTTCCATATATTGGGAATCATCATGCCAACCGACTAATATTTTTCAGGGGGGTTGAAACCACCAATTAGATGAGGACTAGCATTGACTAGCATTGAAACATGAAATCCTGGCTTTAGGTTTAAGCATGGCTCCAGATGGGGGATGCTAGGTCGGGGTGCTGCATATTGCAGATCCGCAAATTGTAGACATACCCTTGGTCATTCTTCAGTTGATCCAGCATATACACAAACATACAAGTGTTGTGATCATTGGGTTCGGAGGGCTTTAACTCTAAAAAAGATGGTTTACAAATCTTTGGCATACCAATTCCCATGGGACTGTTAGCTTTTTTGGAGGCCTTGTCCCTGTGTCAGCATGACAAAAAGTTCTGTACGGTACTGTACCAAGAACTACTCCTCAAAGGTGTCCCTTTTCTTTCGTGTGCCATGGAGCTGGTTGACTGCTGAAATACCCTGTGGTAAACTAACATAGCTATGTAAAATCACCCGTTTCATAGCAACTATAGATGGGCCATTTCAATAGCAACCAGTGAAACCAAGAACATATAAAATCGTAGGGTCTGAGAAAAAACCCTGGGTTTTGATGCAAAACCCAAGGTTTTGAACATCAATGATTTCTTCAAAATCTCAAAATCCTGGAAATTAATGATTCATCATCAATGTGGATGTTAAGTCCTTCTAGGGCGCACGCACACTCACACACATATCCTCAATTATCCCTACACATTCCAATCACCACCCTCTCCTTCTTTCATCATTCTCACAGGTAGCCTTGCTGAACATACGTGGAAGCGAGAAAGCATAAATGGATATATATATATATATACATATAAATACAACTAAATAAAAATAAAAATCTGGGTCGATGAGTACACAATGGGAATTCTATATCATCCAAATATTGGACTTGAGGATGCTATTCGGGGTTATGGGTGACCTAAAGCAAGGCGGGCTGTCAAAGAAAGGGTTGGGATATGTTGCTGTAAATAAAATGTGTTAAACTGCACCAAAAGATATCTAGATATGATTAAATATGCATATTTACTCAAAAACCAAGTTTTTGAGGAACAACACTTATTTTCAGAAAAAGTGCGGAAAAAACAATGTTTTTGCAAAAAAGAACTACAACATGTTAGGTTTTAGGTTTGCTAGGTACGTACAATTACCATGTTTGGGGCCAGTTGGAAGGGACAGATTGAAGCAGATTGAAGTTGGCAAGCTCGCCAGTGGAAAGGCCCAAGATGTGGAGAGAACTTCAACCAGGACCGAACTTTACAGAGGCGCTGCTCATCCAGCTTTTCCAGCACAGTTGGGGTCATCAATTGGGTATAACACGGTATAACGGTCTAGCCATGCTGAAAATCAGTTGGGTAGGATGTAATATAACCCTTATAACTTATAACTATATGGTATACTATGGTTATAGAACTCATTTATTAGTGGAACCCATCTATTAGTGTCGCAGGAGACTGTCCTGCAGATTTCCTTCAGCATGCCACCAGATAGCCCTCTGAGGTGAGAATATCTTTGGCAGCCCAAATGCACACAGCTGAGTAGTCCAAATCACTATGGGTCTGAAATGAATTTATGAATATGAAGAATGGATAAACATGGATGGCTGGTTGGTGGTTTGGAACATTTTTCCATACATTGGGAATGCCATCATCCCAACTAACTTTCATATTTTTTCAGAGGGGTTGAAACCACCAACCAGAAATCAATGCGAACAGCTATGGCTTGGGTGCTGGGATGATGAAATTGATAGTTAGCCAGTGGATCATTCCCCCAACCATTCCCTACGTAAAACGCAGCAGTAAGATGGTCACATGGATGGTCTCAATTTCTGGGTCATTAAATGTCCCATTTTGGGAATATAAAGGACATCACCAAAAATAGTAGCCATTATTTTTCCCATATACCATTCATGGTTGGATGGTGTTCAATGGGGACATTTAATGACCCATGTCATGCGAAATTCCCAAATTTCTGGGTCTCCAATGGTCTCCATACGTCGCCTCTTCGCAGGTGCCTTCCGACGAAAGATCTTTCTGCCAAGGGTGCGGCTCCAAGGATTCGCTGAGGGAGATTTGTTGTATTTGGTTGTTGGTGTTGTTGTTGTTCTTGGATTCTTCTCTCAATTCCATCGATTCATTGACACAACAAACCAACTACGTCTAGCTGTTGGTCAAGGGTCAAGGCTCAACATCATTCCGTCCAAAGACGAAATGCTTCAGTACATGAAGTATCAAGCCAGCATTAAAATGGCCACGTGTTTTTTGGTCATTTGATACTCTTTTGTTGTTTAACACTGCGATGGAACATGAACCATTTAGTTCGCTGATGGACTCTTAAACATGGTGATTGCCCATAGCAAACTGTTGAAGAACCAGCGGTTAATTGTCGGACAAACCATGGTTGGGAGGTTATCCAAGATTAGCTTCCAAGAAATCCAAGTAGGGTATATATATATGTATATATATATATATTTATTTAACTATGCACATAATGAATGTACGTCCTTTATTGAAACAAAAACAAACGGTACAGTGAGATTAATCATGTTCCCACGGGTTGGTTGATTAAACGAGCGGTCATCCAGATGATGATATATGGTATACCAAAGCCACCCCTTGGTTTTTTTCCAAGACAACGATGTTCCCATCTGGTTATGACTAACAGTTCGCCATGGAAAATGATGGCCCATAGAAATAGATGGTTTACAGAACTTAAAAATGGGTGGATCTTTCCATGGCTATGTTAAATAACAAGAGGGTAAATTTATTGATTACCTCCAAACTTGGTTGAACATAGGGTATCCGGTTCCATTCGAGGCCTCGCGCTCGGGTCGTACGCGTCGTGCGCGCAGCCACTGCACTGGCCTTGGGCGGTGTTGTCTTGGTCTTAGGAGCGGGGAAAGGGTGCATAATTGGGAAATTGATGGATATTTGATGGGTATTTGATGGGTAAATCAGTGCATTTTTTGCGCCATTTTTTGGACAAGTTCATATTTTTTGTGTCAAGGTTAACAAAACCCAGAGGCTTCATTCGCCAAGCCGAGGTGAGAGGTTCCGATCGTCTCGTCATGGGGTCAACCTCATCCAATAGGGTGGCTTTAGAATCTTTAGATTCCCCACAATGTTGAAGAGATATGGATGTACAGTGACAAGTTCTTCGTTATTGACGGGCGACAGTTCTTGGCCCGCCAGGTTCAGTTGTTGGTTGGTTTATAACCCCTATGCAACTATAGATCCAACCCTTGTAATTTTCTCAACATAAACCTATCTCTGGGTACCTTCCTTCAAGGCTTGAGTGTCAGGTTTGATACGAGAAATATCAAATGCTGGTCACCTTGCTGCCCCAGGAGCTTTACTTTCCAACGGACGCAGGAATCTTAGTTCAGGATCCGCTTTCGCGGGATATGATCGGAGATCTATGCAAGAATAACAAAAAGATAGGAAGCGCACCTTGACAGCGGCTTATCCCATGAATAATAGAATTGTGGATCCCAAGAAATTGGATATAGTGGTGATATAGTGGAGAAGATAATGGGACTTGTAAGGTCAACATTTTTGATTTTAGCCGTGTCTGAAAATTGAGTATACCTGAAACATTGGATTTGTAGGGAAATCAAGTTTTGGGTACCCTACTTTCAGACAAACCCAAATAAGTCTTTGGAATCAGACCCATGTGGCAGCCCCCGCAACAACTCATATTACATGCTGAGAATGAACAGGTTTTGTGGGTTCTGAAACCACATTGACCTTGACCTGCAAGCTTTCTTGCTCAAGCATTTCATGAGGTACAGAACTCACAGGTCTCAACCTTGCATTCAGGTGCAGCCAAACTCTTGACTTTTAGAGAGAGGAATCTGGGTAAATTATAACGACCTCACTGTTCTCCCTCACTGGAATCATGGCTAGTAAGGGAAATTATCCCCAAATGGCATTCATTCAGGTTGGTGAAATATTATAATTTACCCAGAGGAATGCAGTCATTGAGTACAACAAGTTTGAAGACCAGAAATCGGAATATCATCCGCCAGTCACACGATCACCAGCACGAGACCAGCCACTGGAAGCAGCCAATGTGGTAGACCAAGCGCAAGCAACACAGAAAGAGCCAAGTTTGACATCTTTGACTGGGCAAACACCTTGGTTTTTGTAGGTGAAAGGGTTAGTTTCATCCCAAACTGAGGAGTAGATCATCACCCGCCTATTTTTTTTTGCTGCGGTCAATCTATCTATGTGCTAACTCGCACCAGCAGCCGCATCTCGGAGTCAAGACACTGGCCTTTGCCGAGGCTGGGGTGTCTGGACATGTGTGGTGTGCATGCAGTGACCTACAAAGCAGTTCTAAACGGATGGGATAATGATGGGATGCTCCTGAAACTGGATGGTTACTGTTGGTTAAATATGAATATAAGCCATTACCCTCTGGTAATTTAACGTAGCTATTGAAAATGGCCATTTATAATTTATAGTGAGTTTTCCCATCAAAAATGGTGATTGTCCATAGTTATGTTAGTTTACCAGAGGGTAATTAACATTATTGTTGGGATTGTACCAAAATTTCCTGTTTGATATGATGGGTTGATAGTTAAATATCATGAAATAAGCCACATAAGTGGCTTGAGGGCTATAACATCATGTTTGCAGGTGATCTCTGAGACCACGTGGGGTCATTTCATAGCTGGGTTCCTGGTAGACAGTGTTAGAGTAACCCTTTGTGCTCCTTGGTGAAAACAAATTGTGTGTGTGTGTTTTAGGGTCAGATGATCTTGTTGGCAAACATGATGAAACCACTTCTTTGATTGATTATAATCTCCGGCTATGTAAACATAGCTAACATGGCCCATGTGTAGTTGATTTACCTATTAAAGATAGCGATTCTCCAAAGCAAACTGTTAGTTTACCAGAGGGTAACCATTGCTTGTTGAAAAACCGGTGTGCGACATCTGTGTTAATATACCCCAGGGAAGGGTATATCCCATTGTATCCGCATCTCAAAAAAAATGTTATTTCCCATGTTTGTTGGCTATAATGGATTGGTTTAAGGGAAAATCTGCAGGAAACCATCGATTTTCCCATCAAATATTGGGTTTTCCTGTAAAATGTCCCTGAAACCAATCCATTGACTATATGACCTATTAAAGTGGTGTTTTGGAATTACCCTCCAGTATAATGTTGTGAACCCAACAATGACCCATCCCCAAGTATATGTTTGGGTACACCCCTAGTAAAGGGATAATAACAATGTTGACCCCTTTTCATGGTTTGACACTGGGATGTTTGGTCGAATTTCACTTTGAATAATCATTGACCATAGGTATCCCAAAATAACCGTCCCAAGAATCACCCCAACCACCATCCGATAATTATCCCATAAAGATTCCATAACCATATCTAAACATGTCCCTTTATAACATATATATATATATATATTATGTATATACATATTATCACATTGTATCGCATTATATAGAATATTATGGATGTTTATATTATATATTTATGTAGTGTTGTAAACTCATATATATATATATCATTTGATGAACACTATGATAATATGTTGGTTTGATTTATGAATACATATATAGTTTTACAAATACATATAGTTACACGATGGTTTGTTCTATAACGATTTATAATTATATAGCTTATATTGCATATATTTTTTATAATGACACGCACACCCTATAAATATATATATATGTATCAATTTGAATAAGCCTTACACACCCTTAAAAAATAGGCCTGATATATGGTAGGTACCTCTAGCTCTGCTCTCTAGGTTCCATATGGCCACCTTCGCGGCGGCTGAACAGGTGCCTAGTTACGGTAGATATCATAATTCGTATATCACTGGTGGGAAATACCCTCTGGTTATTTAATATGGCCATGGAAAATGGCCCATTTATAGATGGTTTACCTATTATAAATGGTGATTTTCCATGGCTATGTTAAATAACCAGATGGTATCTATACTATAGATAGTAACTATGATACTGTGGATGGAAGAAATCCTGCACCAGTTGGTAACTATTGGGAACTATAAAACATTGTAAATCATGGGGTTACAATGGGATAAACCATCTACTATATATCTTGGCAAATTATAGTGACCTCACTGTGTGACCTCGCTGGAATCATGGTTAGGACCCGGGGAATTATCCCAATATATCCTTATTTCATCTTATTTCAGGTTAGTGAAATATTATGTTTATCCAGATATGGTAGATATATGATATAGTAGATACTTTGTTACTAGATATATGATAATCATTGAACATATGTTCATGGTTATTTAGTAACGTGGTGTAACGTGATATGGTAGATACTTTGTTCCTAGATATATGATATATGGGTAGATACCATCTGATAAACTAGCAGTTTGCAATGGAAAGTCACCACCTTTAATAGGTAAATCAACTATATATGGCGGGCCATGTTCAATAGCTATGTTAAATCACCAGAGGGTTTTTGGTATATCACTTTAACTGGATATAAATTGTATAAATAGTAACTGCATGGAGAATAACGTGATATTAATAATCCATGTATGACTGGGCTATCACCATGGTTATTGATCACTTACCGGGATGCACGAAGCCCTAGGGCTTCTAAAGGAGGACTGTTCAAGACCGGACGATGTTGCAGTGGAAGTTGTTATCCTGCAAAAGTAGATCCTTATTATTTGCATCATAAGAACATCATGGGAAATTATGGGAAATCACTGAAATCACTATAAATAACGGGATTATCGGATTATAACTGGTTTATTTCATGATATGAAATCAACTAGTTATAGGAGTTATTTCATCCCATTTAAGGCCCTGTGAAGGGCCATAGCTGTGGTTGCTTCGGGAAGTAAGGAAAATGTGTTTTTGTTCAATTACTGTTACACCCTGGACACTTGAAGCGGAACCTGGAAGTTAGTTCTTTGAGATTCTCCATGGCATCACAGCGGCACTTTTCTATCTATCTCGGGATGCCGAGAACAAGGAATCCAAACATGGCAAGTTTCATCCTCTTTCTCTTAGCATGACACATGAGTCACATGACTTTTCCGGCGGATCGAGTGTTCATATTATTCGTGTTCTTCATGTATTGCGTGGGAAAACATGCCAAAGTTACTTGATATTGCCGCCGCTTCCAGAATTTGCCAAAGGCGATGTATTTGTTCCAATGGCGTAGTCCAGCAGAAATGGCTGTTCTAATCCAGGACAAGGTGTTCTGTGTGGGTGACACAGAACAGCAAATTGAAGACCTCCTACTCTTGAGATCCAATTGTGAATTGTATGTTTCCGCTTCAAATAGAACAAGAAATAACTTGGGCTAAAACACCAATTTTCAGACACAGCCAACTATCGCAACGATGCATGATATATTCCTACCCATATCCCCAAATCATTGTTGGGTACTCTCTCCCATTATATCCCCAAGATATGCCATATCCTCCGGTAGTCAAACATGAGCATCCCCGGACTAAATTAATGGTTTTTAGTAGTATATAGCTGGTAGAACAAACTGCAACTGAACATTTTACTGGGAAAGTCACTATAAATTGAGGTTTTTCATGGGACAAATCTTCCTTTGTCTATGCTTTTGATCGGAAAATCCTCCAATAAAAACACCATGGCTTTCTCCAATCTCAGGCCATTGAGAGCAACCTGGGCCATGCGGCGCCAGACACCACGGTGCCCTTGTCCGCCCAGGCGCCGGGAACAGGGAGATCCAGCTGGTTGAATGATACCCTCTGGTTATGTCAACAGTTTGCTATTGAACATGGCCCATATATACGTTGATTTACCTATAAAAGGATGATTGTCGATAGCTTATGTTAGTTTACCGGAGGCTAACTCAGGTCGTGACGTCACTGTGAAGGATGGGAATTGATGGGAATCCGATGGCGCGAATCATCCCCAAAGCTGGACATAGTGCATTATTACATCAACAATCTCATCAAACACGAGGATTTTACCAGGGAAAAAGGTCAGTTGAATAGCAACCATGGGTTTTAACCAGTCAGTGGGTATGTTGATATCATTGAGAAATGATTGATGGATCATTTCATGTGGATTTAAGGATCAATGAGGTTGGAGGGATATGATGTTTTATGGGTCTTTTTCACAAAAACAACGATGTGGGGTGTTGAGAAATTCCAGGGATCATTCGAACAGTCCCATCCTCCTAAGAATAGCGTTTTGAATTTAGATTTAGATAACATACTGTAACTCTTGAAAGAGGCGCCACCCCCCGGTTATAAGTTTATAACCTCCCGAATTTCTATATAGTCATAGTTATATCCACCACTTACATATACCCAAGAGTTATTGGAGTTGTTGTCGCCAACTTAGATAAGGTGCCAGGGGGACCCCACCTTTGTAGATTTTAGACTCGAGTTTGTTCATAGCATTCCATCAAAAAGGGGGGATGATGCCATTGCCATTGAAAATAGCATCCTGTGTCTTCAAAATGGTCTGCTGGAAAATCACCGATTTATCGAGTTGTTTTTTCCGTTGAAACCACCATTGAGTCTATCAATTTCCCCAGCTAGTCATGTTTGCCAAGTTGAGTGCCCCGTTGATGGCTTACTATAGTATACCCACTAACTATCGGGTTTTTTATGGATAGATTGAGCAAAGCCATGAATATCTACCCTTTACGATAATCAACCGTGGTGGAATAGCCAGCCACCTTTCATTACTGGAGGGTAATTAAATATGACAAATTATCACTTTTTTAATGTGTGGTTAGGATTTCCCCAACATCTCAGTTCCCTACATCATGTATCCCCAGTTCATACCAACCCATCCTGATCAGTTTTCAACACTGTTTTACTTGCTGGTGCGAAACGTAGGGAATTTTCGGAATGATCCCAGTCATCAGTAGTAACTTCATAATCCCAGCAACCCCCAGCAATCCCAGCAACCCATCCATTCCCGTGAAACACACCAGTAAGTTTACAAGGTGGGGCCTAAGGATAGCGGTGTTTCTTGAGTTATGGCATGGGCTTCACCAGGTCGGCTGGAACTTCCCTGTGATTCCGGAGGGGGTGCGGAGACCGATTGTTTTTTTCGGATCTGGCGGATCTGGGGATGACTTCCGGGGTGAAACTTGGTGGAATTTCCGCCGCAAAATGGGGATTTAAGTATCAAACATCATAAACATCTGGTGATGCAGATTATTATAACCCAGTTATTTTCCTAGGACAGGACTCTTCGGGGTGCACCAGATGGGGATAAACATCATTTTTTTTGATTTCACCAGGCAACATGGTGATGTCAGCGTCAAAGATGCGGTTTTAACGTGATAAAAAAAACGATCTTAAACAATGGGAAGGAACCATCGCCTCAAGTTGAACCGTGTGAGCCATTGCTTGGAGGAAAAACATGTTGCCAACTCATTCCAATTCCCAACTCATGGCAGAGTCGTTATATTAGTTGGGGGGATGATAGATCAATTTAGTATCCCTTAGCGAGAGATTTAAAGATTGTGCTTGTTCTCCTTGGGAACTTCACTAGCAGAATTGAAGCTGTCACAATGTTTATTCAAATTCATGCAAAAGTCTATGTACGATATTTAGGCGGATAAATTGATGGGTTAGTGGAGAGATGAACCAATGAATCAATGAACCTGGAATTTCCTCATAAAGCTGGACAAACCATGACAAACGCATATCATATTGTTGGCGAGTATTCCTACTCTGTTCAATCCCCATATCATCGTTGGTTTATCCATTTTTGCTGAAACATTTCTGGTCGCTAAATCCCAATCGTTGATGTTCAAATCCACGTGGGTGATTGTTAAATCCACATGTTTGATGTGTTTAAATTCCCATGTTCTGGATGGTGACATCCATGTTCAATGGCGTTAAATCCCACATTGACGAACAGTTCTTTTCATGCCAGAAATCCGTCTGAGGCTGAGACCACCATTATTCCAGTGGCCTTTCCCGTGGACAGGCGCCACTAGGGACCTTGGGGGGACCAAGCGGCCCCAGATGGACAATTGATTGAAAAATGATGAGAAATCACGTCATGCATACGTGTACGTATATATATATATACATACATACATACACTCATACATTCATACATTCATACATTCATACGTTCATACGTTCATACTTACATACATACATACATACATACATACATACATTCATGCATACATACATACATACATACATACATACATACATACATACATACATACATATATACACTCATACATTCATACATTCATACATACATACATACATTCATACATTCATACATTCATACAATCATACATTCATACATTCATACATACATACATACATACACATACACATACATACATACATACATTCATACATACATACATACATACACATACACATACACATACACATACATACATACATACATGCATACATGCATGCATGCATACATACATACATACATACATACATTCATACATACATTCATACATACATATACATACATATACATACATATACATACATATACATACATATACATACATATACATACATATACGTACATATACATACATATACATACATATACATACATATACATACATATACATACATATACGTACATACACATACATAGACATACATATACATACATATACATACATATACATAAAATAGAAGGACCATAACAACACATACATACACAATACATTCATACAGTGCATAACATTCAATACATTCACACTCCATACAACATACACATACACAACAACATACACATACACATACAACATACACATCATCATACATAATACATACATACATACATACATACATAATACATCATACCATACATACATACATACAACCAAGTATAATGTATATATATAAATACATAAAAAGACCACCAAAAACCTTCCCGTCCTCTCCTCTCTCTCTCGCTCTCCGTCTCTCTTTCTCTCCTTCTCGTCATCTACCCCCTCTCCCTCTCTCTCATCTCTCGTCCTCTCCCATCTCGCCTTCCCCCCTGCCACCCCTCCACGCCCCGTCGCCTTTCCCCCCCTGCCCCCCGCCCGCTCCCGTCGTTCTGTTCCCCCGCCCCCCTCCCCTCCGTACCTTTCCACCCTGAAAACATAGCGATAACGTAGCATTTCCACCCTGAAAACATAACGATAACGTAGCATTTCCACCCTGAAAACATAACGATAACGTAGCATTTCCACCCTGAAAACATAGCGATAACGTAGCATTTCCACCCTGAAAACATAACGATAACGTAGCATTTCCACCCTGAAAACATAACGATAACGTAGCATTTCCACCCTGGAAACATAGCGATAACGTAGCATTTCCACCCTGGAAACATAACGATAATGTCATATTTGCAGCCCAAAAAAAAGCGCGCGACAAGACGTTATCACACCCCCAACCCACCACCAGCACCCCCCCAAACCCCCCCCCTCCACCCCACCCCCCCACACCCCCCAAACACAAAAAACATGCATATACACCGACGGCGAACCAAGCGTCCTGCGGGTATATATATATATAAATAGAATATCCCTAATTAAGTTAACTGTTTTCTTTAAGCACTTAGGATTCCTAGGATGCACATCCAAGTCCCTTAGTATACTTCCTTGAGACGTGTTGGGAGATCCCAAACAGACAGTGTCTGAAAATGGAGCCCTATGGGGTCAATTTGAGTGAGGAAAATGAGGTTCAAATCCACTTGACAGAATATAGAATGTGTGTTTTTCTATCAAGCAAAGTCAGAAATCTTTGATGAATACACTCAACTTGGGAATCAAGAGACTGGGGCATTACTCGGCAGCAGCTGCGCCGATAGTATTAGTAATTATTAGGGTTTCCCATGTCAAACACACCACCTTTTGTGCTTGGGTCGTGCTGATCCATGCTGATTCCAATGGACCCCCATGTGGCTTTGTTTTGAGGTTTTTTTCACAGCAAAGCAGATGAGGAGTTGTTAAGTTACATACCAGTTTTGGTGAGCACGTGGGCATGGATCAAAACCGTAATTTACTGTATACTATAATTTTGCACTGTATGAAAAATTATAAATCCTTGCTATCTTGGTGTTGAAGACAGCTCATTAAAGATAGTGTTTTCCCGTTTCAATGTGTTTGAATGGCTGTTTTGGAGTATGCCGGTATACCTAGTTTTTCGATGGACCCATATATGGGTCTTTCGAAAAACTCGTTGGCGTTTTCGGTTTTTCCTTTGGTTTTCAGATTCATGTTGCGTTAGTTGGAAGCTGTGGGCACTGGGAAAGCCAGTCCTGACCCCCAAGAAATCATCCGGAGATTTGGGCTATCGACCCCAAAGAAACAATCCGAAAGATAGAACAGTAAAATCTCACCAAGTGATGTGTTTCAATATGTGCTGTTTATTTGTTTTACGGCTTCTGCGGATTTTTTTCTACAATATGTGGCAGCAATCCACATGCTTAAGCCTTAAGCCCTGGGCCCTGGGAAGCCCGTCCTGGTGCAGTTTGCCCAAAGAGAAGCAAGCTCGACTGGTGCAGGAGATGGAGGTGGGAAGAACGCAGACCTGGGGACCTCTGAAGAGATTCCACGGTCATGGTGCTTCCTTTTAAAGGGATTTTTCCTATTTAAAGCACCATTCTTGGGTGGAAAAAATCCATATATTTCAATTGCCGCGTTTGACTACTGTAGGGTATGTTTTATCATATTTTATAGTGATATTGACTATATTGACATCGATTTTTTGGAGCAATCGCGCCAGTTCGATAGAAGGAACCAACTGGTGTTGCTCAAGATTGGGGCCATGCCCAAACCATGACGATTGAGTTAGCCACTTGGCCATTGGGCCCAGTTTTGAAATGTTGACCAAGTGACCCAAGGAACTGGGGCACCACTGTGTAGATATCAAGGTTCATGGACAATCTGAGAAACTTGCAGATTTTACAGCACCATCTCCAACTATCAGAAAGAAAACGGACTTCGATTCACTTCCGTTCAGCATCATCCATATCATTCCCATATGGGGGTTTCCATAAATAGGGGTACCCCCAAATGGATGGTTAATGGAACATCCTACTAAAATGGATGATGTGGGGGTACCCCCATTTATGGAAACCACCATGTTGATGGAGGGTTTTAACTATTTCCTGCCATCCCACGGAATTGGGTGCCAACCATTCTGCTGATGAATATCTCGAGTTCTACTGACCTGCCCATTGCATCAATATACCAACTGCAATCCGAACCATTAGAGTGTTTACTTGAGTTTATCATCGTTTTCAATATGAAAAAGTGAAAGAGTTGGGATCACTTTGATATAATTATCTATATAGTTGGAGTATATCTATAGTTAGATTATGTTAGATGATGTTAGATAGGTTTAGAAGATTATCAACCATTATTGACCATTCTTAACCATTATTAACCATCATCAACCACTATTATACTATCCAATATGGCTACGTAAACCACCTATACCTGGGAGTAGCACCACCTTAGCAGATCTTCGCACCCGATCTCCGGCAGATCTTCGCGGTCTTGGGCCTGGCTCTGATGATCTGGGCCTCTTGGACCGCAGTGTTTTTCATCGTAGACCTAGCGTTGGACCCTTGGTTTGTACCCAGAAAGACACGGTGCTGATAATGTATAATGCCAACACCGGATGAATAACCCCCCCCCCAGAAGGTAGGGGGGGTACCTTCTGACTGGTTTTCTTGACCACCCCTAAATAATAAGCAACTCTGAACCACAAAACTTTGGATATGGCTTCCGTCAACTAGATTTTAATAGAATTCCATTGGATTTGTTAAAATTTCATGGATCAGAAAGGTGGTTGATTAATCAGGGGCAATCCCTGGTTATTATTAATGGGGGACATGGGCTCATGGGGGGTACCCCTTGGGAGCTATCCAAACTGATGATTTTTATAAAGGTTTTAATTAGAAATCGATCATTTGGGGAATAGTTGTTTTTTGAAATTTTCAATGATCAACTTAAACCTGAAGTATAACAATGATGATTAAACAAAAGGTAAAAAACAATTGGAAATACATAGAATTGGAAATAAAAAATGTTGGATAAAAAATGGATTTCAGCACAGGGGGTTGATTAATCGGGGGTAGGCCAAAGTGTTTATTAATCTGGGGGGACCACCTGTGTTTAAATTGCATTTTTTTTTGGGAGGAGGAGGTTGATTAATAACGGGATGTTGATTAATCCTGACTTGACATTATATACTATCTACTGTATATATATATATAAATGTAGTGTATATATATATTAGTATATTAGTATATATATACACTGTATATACATCACCATTTGATGTTAAAAAAACATTACAACAACTGAGTTGAATCTGAATTGTTTTACCCCATGATTTTCATTCTTGTGGCATTTTTTTGGGAGATTTGGTCTAGGTCGTGGTTACAGAAATATGGAATTTATGGGATGAATATGAAAACAGCAATCACTAAATCATACAACAAATAAGTGATACAAGAAAAGGATTATAGTAGATTATGGCTAGATAATGAGGGTTTATGTTATTCATGAATTTTCTGTCTGTTTTAAAAATTATCTTATCACTGGGCAAAAATATGTGAGTTCTGGGAGTGATCATGAGATTTCATTGGGTGTATATGACCACATGAAACGATGATGCTGTGCCTGAAAATGGGGTCCCTCAAAAATAGCAGGGTGGTGCCCCATAGTCAGGTGACTAGTTCATCATATTTGGTCCATGACCACAGTGTGTTGGACTATTTTGGACTATTTCACCATGTTTTCCCTTCATGTTTTCCCTTCATGTTTTCCCTTCATGTTTTCCCTTCATGTTTTGGACGTTTTCATGCTCAGATGCTTCCCTTCTTCTTCATCAACCGCGGCTTATGCTGTCGCTGCTTCCAGCGATGTTTGTCGCGACATCTAAGCTGGCCGGGGGCCTCAGCCCGAAGCATCTCCGGCCCCATAATATGGGCCATGGCCGAAGGACTGGGTCAACGATGGGTAGCATATAGTCTAACAATGTATATATCATATATCATTACAATATTAATCTTATGTGATATTATGATTTATGTATAATATATATATAAGCATAATAATGACATATATATATATAATTGTCATGTATGCAATCACATATGATGCTGGTGGATATCGATTTTGAATGATTTTGATATGTAGACACATTGTCATCCTGGAGTAGATAGAATATGGGAAACGCAAAGAATACTCACGACTCATGGGAACATGTTGGACCATTTCATTCTCTATCTATTTCAGGATGATTACCCTCTGGTAAAATAACATAACTATGAAAAATCACCATGTTTAATGGGAAAATCAACGAACTAAATGGCCATGTTCAATAGCTATTTTGACATAACCAGAGGGTAAACCTCCATTTTCCTATGGTTTTCCTATGGTTTTCCTATGGATCCCATGGTTTTTGATGACATCAAGGATCACATACCCCAATATGTGACATCCCGATTCCCTGGGCGTTTTACGAGGATTCCCGGATAAAAGATGGATGACCATACAACAGATGGATTACCACGGTTAACGTCCGTTGTAAGCCCAATAACAAACCATACCCCATTTATAGCCAGTATTGGGGTCTATGTTTATCATTATCACCTTTAAATGGACCTGATTAAGACAATTTTGAACTGTCACATTACATTTATTTCTGTTTTTCTTTGCCATTTGACGGGGGTTCAAACACTGTCCCAAAAAAGAGGTCATAATGAAAAACCTCCAAGTAATTAGAAAAGTGTAACCGAATCATGTAGGCAAAACCACCCTTTAGGAGCACAATAAACCGACCAAGTGACATCCCACCACCACAAGTTATGGCTACTCTCTGGTAGTTTGTTATAGTTTGCTATGGAAAACGTGTCCATTTAGTTCCATGATTAACATTGGTGCTTTTCCACAGCTATTTTAGATTGCAAGTGGACAAGAGTTGGATTTGGGATCCCACGAACTGCAATGTCCTCTAGATCAGGATTGCTGATCAATGGTGAATTCAGTTTTGCATATTGTTCCCAATACTCTGATAGCTGCAGGACATGTCCCTGTGATAGCTGCAGATTGCTGGTTTTGGCTATAGATTTTTTTTTCTGTCCCCTGTCCCCGTTTACGTGCCCTGTGGCGACCTGACAAGCGAGTAAATCTCATTAAATCTCCGTGATTGCTGCGTAAGTCTCTGCTAAATCCCCACCAAATCTCTACAAAGCCATAAAATTACGCAAAATTAACTTGTAAGTCGCAATCAAAATCAACATCATAATCTTGACAGTTTCAACACTAAGACCATAGTCCTACTATTTTGTCATAATGATTCCACACCATAATCCCAGATTTTTTCTGAAAGATTCATCTAATCCTCCCCATCATTCTGGGTAAATTATTGTGACCTCACGCTGGGACCGAACTCTGGAATCATGGCCAGGGGAATTATCCCAATATCATAATTAGTGAATTATCATAACGGAATTATCCCAAGATTTCAGATAAGTGAATTCTTATATTTTGCAAATAAGGATAATTCCCTATTTGATGGGAGGACCATCAAAAAAAAATAATTAACATCAAGAAAAAAAATAATTCATCAAAAAAAATAAATCATCAAAAAAGAAATTTAAATAAAGGAAAGAAAAGGAAGAAAGGAAGGAAGGAAGGAAGGAAGGAAGGAGAGAAGGGAAGCAGGAAAGGAAGGAAGGAAGGAAGGAGAGAAGGGAAACAA